CATCTTGAAAAGATAATTGGACCGCGTCGATCGTATGTGCACCAATTCCAAAACTATCATAGAGACATTCGAGGTTGCGAAGAAAGGACACTTTGCCAGTAAACCCCAAAGCTAGTTTGATTGTTTCATCAGCTATATCAGAAACAAAAAAAATTTTCTATAAGGAAAAGATTGCATGCACTTGTGTAAATGAGCAGCTTTCTTCAGTTCCATCGACGGTTCCTTCATGGCCAGTACCCGACAAGGTCTCTACTGTTGCACTTAAGGGATTAAAGGTCGTAACCTTTTGATCTTTGTTGTCGGTGAAAACAATGTTGCCCTCATAACTATACAGCCTCTTGATTTCCTTACAAGAATCTGAAGAATTCCGCAAGAGTCGCTCAACATTGACAGAATCGAGGTTACAACCATATAACCCTCCAGCTGCGCCATTTGCTGCCAAGTATGCTGATTGCTGCAGAACATAAAGAGATTCAACACTTGTCACGTCATTGGAATAGTTTATCTGTCTCAGCCTACTACCGATGATAGGCACTCCATTGTACTCTAACTCCAGCTGCATTATGCTTCTCTGCTCATCATCTGCAAACAAGAAGATATCCTTACTTGCCGCACAGATGGAAGTTGATTTACTTAAAGGTGGGTTAATCTGGACAATTTGTTTATTCTCGACTTGTGCAGCTAAAGATCTCAGATGTGTCGTCAACCGCTTCTGTAGAACTGGACCTGTACCCTCAAGTGACAATCTGAAACGACTAAGCTGCGAAAGCAAATCAGCTCGCGATTTTAGGCGTCCGGGTTTGAAAAGTACTTCGCCTTTCAATTCAATGAAACGGATTGCTGATGAGCCTCTCTCTGCAACGAAGACTACGCCATTGGTAAAGCATAGGTCCTGCGCATCCCTGAGTACTTCCCTCCGAATATTTACATCGACTGGTCGGTGTAAACGCAGTTCTACGAGACTATCGAGAGTCGAAATCGTAGTCTAACGCCAGTACTTTGCCTTGGGGCCCAATTTCAAGTACAATTGGTCTTTTGCAAACACTAATTTGGTTGGACTTCCAGAAGCGACACTCTTCAGGAACTATTGTGTGGATTATCAAACGTATCCCCTTAAATACATCTAGTACTGAGGGTCTAGTCAGGCGCATTATCAGCTCTAAGGACAAGAGCATTTCAGCTTTGGCTCACTGTTCGCGAGTGATGTTCTTGATTTTCTTGCAGAATTTAAAAGAGCAGATAAAATATGAAAATGCTTAAAAAAAACTTTGGGGTCTTCTTTCAAACACTAAACAGTATTTTTTCCAGAACAGTAAACATTAAAAAAATAGTCAATTTAACAGTAAACACTAAAAAATATGGGCAAATAACACTAAACACTAAATCCCATTCAGACCCTCTTCTTTATCTTTATTTTTGACCACAGTGACCCAGATTGCCCGAAATATTCAAGTGTATTGAAACTTAAGTTGTATTGCCGATCTAACGGTAAGCTCTTGAGCGGCTAATGGTGTAAGGTCAATTGGTTTAAGATTTTGCACAACAGAGGGAGAATATGAAATTAGAAGATCCTCGCAGCTAAGAACACTACTGAAACTAGTAGTTGTAAGTAGGACCTGAAAAAAATTTCAGGCCCGTACGGGATTTGAACCCATGACCTCTGCGATACCGGTGCAGCGCTCTACCAATTGAGCTAACAAGCCAACTGGGAGCTGGTCAATGAATTGGGTACAAATAAACATCCGAGTGAATGAAGATTTAGATATATGAAAATTCACATATTTGCACTGCGGTGGAAAGATGAAATTAGAAGATCCTCGCAGCTAAGAACACTACTGAAACTAGTAGTTGTAAGTAGGACCTGAAATTTTTTTCAGGTCATGGGTTCAAATCCCGTACGGGCCTGAAATTTTTTTCAGGTCCTACTTACAACTATTAGTTTCAGTTGTGTTCTTAGCTGCGAGGATCTTCCAGCTCCCAGTTGGCTTGTTAGATCAATTGGTAGAGCGCTGCACCGGTATCGCAGAGGTCATGGGTTCAAATCCCGTACGGGCCTGAAATTTTTTTCAGGTCCTACTTACAACTACTAGTTTCAGTAGTGTTCTTAGCTGCGAGGATCTTCTAATTTCATCTTTCCACCGCAGTGCAAATATGTGAATTTTCATATATCTAAATCTTCAGAGGGAGAATATGTCTCCTCCACTGAGTCCGAAGATTTCTCATTATGAGGAGGGAAGAGCTAGATAATACAAATTTTCCAAAGTAAAAACTCGAAACCGCCTTTCGGTCACTAGTTCCTTAAAAGAATAGTTACCATGCGTGGAATATGATTCAAACTGAAGCTAAGATAGCCAAGCTTTTTGTCTCAGTTGCTCACTCCTTACTTACCACGAGCAGCGCACTCAATGTGTTGGCTCTAGATTCCTCTACCCGCCTTCACCAAAGTTCGAGACTCCGAAAAAACTTCCTTTAGAGAATTGTAAAATCTGATAGAATTGTGAAAATGTCAATAACAGTTACTTTTAGGACGAATAGTTCCTCGTGCATTCTTTTGCAAACTGTAATCACTATCCTTCACTAGTCCCCATAAAATGTGGACTGATTCAGTGGAAATTGTCAGTGCACGTTGAGCTCTTTATTCGGCCATCTTGGTGAACAGTTTGCATTGTTCACTGGTGATTTCGTTCTTGATCTCAAATACACCAATTTTTTTCGAATTAAATTCAATATTTTTGTCATACTCTTATAAGTTCACATTTTCACAGTTTTTAAATAATCGTTTACAGCCGTGGCAATGACATATATTCTTTACTCTGAAGGCGACTTTGGGTCTGGAAAACTGGGACGAAAAGTCGCGCAGAGTTTAAATGAAGTTCTCTTCCCCAGTCAGATTGATATCAGAAAAAGAAACGCGTGCCACTGATTCCACCGAACACATTCGCAATTTGAAGACAGTTCAGTTGTATAAATATCCAAAGAAAGATGTTTGAGTTTGTCAGATAATATAACAAACGTGGCTTAAAGAAACATAATTGTCATTGCTAGGTTTGAAACGTTTGATATTGTCACGTAGCCATATCATCATCTCTTACATCATTTGGTGCATCACTCTGATAGTCTTTGACGCCAACAGGCTAAATTATTAATCTAGCAGTCTGCCCAAAACTCTTACATTACAGACAGACTCAACACACATGTAAAACTAACTTGTCAGAGCAATTTACATGGCTCCGGTAGTCAACAAAAACTATGAATAGCAGTAACCTTACTCTCTAACGATTATTAAAATTGCTGAGGTAGAAAGGAGCACTCATTGAAAATAGAGTTTATCACAACGAAGGGATCTGTGCGGTTTCTTCAAAGCTCAATGAAAAGAGCTTTACTGCAATGGGGAATATAATCAAATTTGAGACTAAGTGCTGTCAGATCATAATGAATACAATTTTGTTCTGCGGCATGTTTCCTCTTTCATTTAATAAAATCTTTTTTTTCTTATACCAACCACTTTCTGTCGCCACTTTATTCAAACTCCCCTTGCTGTTGTGACATCTTTTACATGGTAAAAAATAACAATTAAAGCGAAGTACAAATCAATTTTCCTTTAATTAGGACTGCCATAAACATCAACGGCGCAAACTGCATCAACTCACCTAACAAAGATTCTCCATACTTTTAACATAAAATGAATGTTCAAAACGAGAACAAAAGACAATGTTGAGGATTTGCAAACTGCGGAATTGTTTCTTAGTCTCATGTAGCATAAGAGTCCAGCCAAGACGGATATAATTACTCGTTTTTTTCATATCGGCCGAGATATTTTTGTTCTCATTTTCGGTTGACAGATCTTTTTTTCTGTTTCATTTTTGTAACAAATCCTGCCGAAACACGCAAAATCAATTTCGTTAAATTTGTCTTCACGCGGTCAAACTAACAAGACGGCAGAACACTATAAAGTCATATATCATATCCAACCGCACACAGAGGACAGTCACCGACCTTTCACTTCCTTTCATTATTTACAAAAATGATAAATTAAATAAAGCAAAACATTATATTATAACCTACATTGAGCACGTTAAAATTCCCAAATTGAAAAGTTTGCGCATAAAAAATTCATGACTTGAAAGAAAATCTTCCGAGAGCGGCTTTTTTCTCTAAAGGAACCAGATAGCTTTAAAGAATATCCATGTTACTGACGCACATTGGTTGAGGTAAACGCTTTTGTCATCTACCGCTCAACGATTGCTGTTGCTGTAGCAGTCAAGAAGCATCATTATTTATGTAAATTAGTTACTCCCCCACAAAGCAAGTCTATTTGGAAAATTTTGTGTGATGTTTTTATTTCGGTACATCATTCATACCTTTTATACCGATTTCATAGATAGCTTATTGCACGGCGCAATCATATTAAACAGCAAATGTAAGTAAATTGCTTTGAAAAATAGCCTTCGGGCATGAGCGGAGTTGAGTATCCATCACCCCGGCTCCGAAAATAATTTTTTATAATATAATGCACGAACTGCCTTGGCTGATCGTATATCGAGTTGAAGCCAAAATATATGTACTCGTTCTAAGTGACTGCAGTTCTTTCAGACAGCTAAGCCTCTTGTAAAAAAAATAAATATGCTAGGGATACGTAAGGAAAGAAACAAACTCCTTCGGAAGACTAATTTTTCTTAGATGTCGATTTAGTTATCTTGTTTTGTCAGTTGGTGGAGCCGATGGTTGAATTCGCCAATATGTAAGACTAATATGAATTTGTTGAGATACACTAAGTAACCATGTCAACTATGAATGGGTTTAAGAGTTGATGCCACGTTCACAAGCTGCCCTTTTTTGCTTTCCTCTTTCTAGCAATATCGTGCTACTGAACGCGTTTTTGAAAGTGCGTCGGAAAAAAGAAGCTAACCAAGTTTTACAAAAGATTTTCTATAAGGTGAATTCACTCATTAGAAAGCTCTCTTTCTACTCAACATTTTATTGAGATTTCTTTACTGCGATAACATTCCATTAAATAAGACGACTTACTCTATATTTCTAATTCAGTGTTTCATCTACTTAACCATTTCGCCAAGTGTTAAAAATTGACTTATCCGTTGGCTAATTGAGTGGAAATGTCGACGCATCATATCAAATGCAATTTGGTATTTTGGTTCTATAATCTCTTTTAAACCTTAAGTCATCTTTTCCAAACTGAACGTTATGAAACATTCTTTGTTTATGGAATTAAAAACATCATTTTTGGTAACTGAGTTATGTTATGGTTTCGTTTCAAAGAAATATTAACGCAGGTTCCTTCTAATGGTTAAAAAACAGCTTTCCCCTCATGTCGATCAGTTCTCGTCTAATTCATGCACAACTGAACGAGAAACTTGTTCATTCACGAGTCTGTTTGTGATATATTTCATTTGAGCTTCTCGTTAAAATGACCCTTGGCAGGTATGTTTCTGTTTTACTGAGAAACAGCAAAGTTTCTTTCCTTAGGCAGCCCGAGTTTTAATTCCCACATTACCTCGGCATTTGTAAGTTTTTACGAAGCCACTTTTGGTTTAGGGTGTTACTTTTCTCAGTTGATCTTGTAATTTAGATAGAGTTTCTTGCCAGCTTTCTGGTGCAGAGCCTTTTTGGCCCTGTGTGACAACAGTTTTTGATCCGAGGTAAGCTGAAAACGCTGACGACTCTAGTGAGGTTGCAGCACACCCAGGAATAGCAGTTGTTCCCAATTTTGATACGCAAGAGACGAGCTTCGGTGAGGTATGGAAAAGAAGCGAGTGGGGTGGTGAGGTGCCACGAAATTCTCGACTCCCAACCAGATTCAGAGAAGGGTACGACCTAACAGATAGTGGACTGTAGAGGTAAGGGGAATCGTAAGAACCCATGATGCTTTCAATGGCGAAGCTTTTCTTGGTAGGACGGATGTATGTTAGGTTTGGGTATCCGCGACAGTCGTCAGTGCGAAAAGGAAAGAAAGACGAAGATGCTGAAAGAGGACTCAGTCCCCGGAAATACGCCGAGGGACAGGAACTGCTTCCATATTTTAAAGGGTTGCTTCTCCTCACCCGCCGTCTGGCTCTTCTACGCCTGAAATCACCATTGGCAAAGTCTTCAAGGTTGGCCGGGTGAATAGCCCAGTAGTTTCCTTTGCCGTTTTCGCTGCGACCCGCTTTGATAAAACACTCATTTAGAGACAGGTTGTGTCTGATACTGTTCCTCCAACTCTTGTCCTTATTTCGGTAATACGGAAAGTTATCTGAAATGTACTGGTAGATATCTCCCAGTATCATCTTCTTGTTAGGGCAGCTTAATATCGCCATTGCTATCAGCGCAATGTAAGAATGGGTTGGCTTCACGTCTGGATCGTTGCAGTCAGTTTTATGGCTGCCATCTTCTTCAGGCGACTCGCTTCGGTCCATCGTAGCCGAGTCTAAGTCCTCTATAAAGTTTTGGACGCATTCTTCAGGGTTCTGTGCTCCATGATCACTCTCTGAAATAACATGTTCATTCTCTGTGTCTTCGATTTCTTTGTTTTCAGGCAGTAACGCCATTTCACTGTGGCTCTCGGCAGTCGAAAGTTGTCCGAAGTTTGTAAGGTCAACCACCATATCACTTAAAAATTCGCTCATGTCTCCTGTGTGTATTCTCATGAAATTACCACTGCCGTGTATGCTTTCTACGGCCCACTGCAGATTATGAATTATTATACTTTTAGTTAGTCAAACAAATACCGTGCCAAACAATAGCTTCCGATTGGTTTCAGGTCGCTGACATATATTTATCACCACCCTCATGAGTGCTTATATTGACCTCACTGCAAATTGTTCTGTCTCGGCTAAACAAAGCCAAAAACTAACCAGCTAAATTGAGCCGAACGCGACACGAAATCCAAGGAAATTTTCAAAGGAGAGCGTTTTACAAGCCACGAAATTGCTTAGCTCCAATAAAATACCTATACCGATAGATAAAATCAGTTTTTTGGTAATTTTAGGTCTTGATTTCACCGCGTTTCTTTCATGTTATTCTTGACTGTTAAGTTCTTTTGTAGACAAGGTGATTAAGGTAATTGCAAGCACCGCCTCCATTGCCAGGATCGACCACCCGGTCCGCAGTCTAATAGTGACCGCGTTTTACAAGCAGAAAGCTGATTGGCTGAACATTACATTGACACTAAGACACAAGCTTTGGCCAATAAGTAATGCTTTCTATAAAATATAAGTCGCTAGAGACAGATGGCATCTTTTCTTTCCTCGCTAACAGACTAACGACAATAAAGTAATCGTTTTGACCCTGTAACCACCAGTCGATGTGATAAATACCAAAAGTTATCTGTTTTTGCCAAGTTTTCCGTTGACAATCTGCACGAAACAACTTATGGTAGATTTAAAGCAGGTGTAGAGCAAAGGTTGTTGTTATTTTTCGGGTTTATAAATAGGAAGAAAATTTATATATACGACAGATAAAGAGATGATGTTTACCTTTATTCCACCTAACGCGCCAAATGGCATGAGCAAGCAATATCCCGCACTAAGCGCGATCGAACTTACACGTCAGAACTCTTCAGATACAGTATTTGTCTTGGAGGTACTTTGAAGAGTTATGTAAAACTGTTCAAGATAAAATTGTAATATCCGACAGAGTACCACCCAATTTAGAAATTTAAGATCTAAATGTTGATGGTCGATAAGTTTCCAAATGCATACAGAGCAAGGCGTCAAAAGCAGTTGTTTTGTCTCACAAATCTACTAAACATGGGATTAATGTTTATATTTCTTTGCTGACAAATGAATGCGGTTTAGTCCATAATTTCATTTCTAGCAGTTCGAAAACGTGTTCCTTGTTTACAATAAAATCATCCTCATCTCTTTTCAATAATTGTCTCCAGCAATGTCTGGTTTATGGGTTCTATTTCGTAGTTTGCGATGTTTGGGAAACTTGTATCGTTTTGATGTTAGATCAACTTCAAACAAATTAAACCTCTCCTTTCGTCCTGAGGCCAAATAGTTTTTATGGTTTGATAAAACCTTTGGCACCCAAAAAATAATGAATTGATTAGCCCCACAATAACTATTGTTAAAATACATTTATATCAGGGTAAAATTGAAGTAAAATCACACACGCAAAAAAATTGTTAGCCTGTATATATACCTTCCGCTTACACGATCACGAAATTTATTCAGAAGAAGACATGGTCGGAAAAACTACATGAAATTAGACACTTCTCAGCATTGAAAGACATGTATAAGGCGTTTTTTCGAAAACATGGAGGGAAACCACATTCTTTTGATATTTTCAAATTTGCCCGCTGACTTGTCTTGCAAATTAAGAAGGTAAAAAGTCTGTAATTTTGACATGGGAATGTAGATAACTGGATACTCCTCCAACTTTTTCTATTGTTCGATAAAATAGTTGTTGGTGAAAGAATTCACCTGTTAATTGCGTTTTGCCGCTTGCTAAAATTTCAGAAATATTCCTCCTTGATTTATTGATCAGCAAATGACGATTTTTATCAACAGAGATATGTTTGTGTAATTTTTACTCAGGTGGTGCAGTGCGATTGCGGTGTATACATGAAGGGAACTCTCCAGAAGTAGCGCTCAACAAGCCACGATATAACTGTGGAATTTAAGTTTGTTTTCCTCCCAGCATGGCATCTAAAAACACAAAGATCAGTTTTGATAAGTCTCCAGCTGGTTTCTACCGCGTTTATGAAAAGAACAGAGCAGTTTGTTGTTACAAAACAAAGAATTTAAAATGTGTGTGGCAAACAACATATTGACTTGACTTGTTTGCGCGTGTAGCCCAAAGTGCATTTTACATGACTTAAATAAATTTCAGGGAATGTTTTCTTGACTATTACCTAATTGAAAGAAAAGTAATGGTACTCTGACTTAGATGAAATAAATCATTTTCGTCCAAGTCCAACCTTTATGTATAGGACACTGTTCAAGGTGTTTTGATTATTTCAAGACACACGCGTTCTGAATAATGTCTAAAGCTTGTTTCTGGACTGAATAGCGACAAGAAAATACTCTTGCTTTTTGTCCATATACGAGTACCCTTATTGTAAAAATTGACATCTGGTTTAGAGCACATTTGCTTGCTTGGCAAATATATTTCACATTAAAACACTTTTTTGTGGTTATGCCAGATAAATCATCTTGGCTTTTTAAGACAATTTAACTTAATTATTTATGGCCATTAGAAAGTGTCGTTCAAATCATTTCTCTCGGATTGCTATTCGGACCAGAGTCAATACAGTCAATGAATAAGTCTCGGTTTGTTTCCATGACTATAAGCAGTGGGAATTATTAAGTTTACCACGATTAGTAATTACGTGTTCCTAACTGCAAGCCGTACGTGAATAAATCCTCACATGGATATATAGAAAGTGATACATGTACACATGATTCTCAACTGGTTTATCGTATTTAGAAATTGAGTGGATTATGGACAGGCAATGATTAATTAGCTCAATTAAGGTGATTAGCAACTTGTTTTATTGTCTTTTTCATTATAGCATCATTGTTTGAAAACCAACCCCACCCCCAAAGGACAGCTGCAAGCCAACTGAGCTTAATTGAATCTCTTTCAATAGAATATCGGTTTTTCTATACGAACAAGAAAACTTCCTTTGTGAGGTGATATTTCTTTTTATCTTCCTTTGTTTGATGTATTTTGCTTCCAGTAAACATTCGTAAGAAAAAGTGAACAAGAGTCATGCACTGAGTCGGACAAAAATGGTAAAAAATTCACCTTTTAGTATCAAGTGAAATACAGCATGAAATATTTTTTACCAGAGATTGATTCACGGAATATGTGCTGTTGAGAAGGTTTGTCTGATATTCGTGAAGAGCATTCTCTTTTTTTATTCTTCTGCTCGCCGGAATCGTTGTTGTCTTTGACTGACATTTTTTGGCGCTGAAAAGACTCACAGGAAGCAATATCGTTTTCATGAGGTGACACAAAGCCAATTCAATATCACAGATAAACGATAGAGAACTCATTTGCAATTGAGTTGTATTGTGAAGTTAGTTAAACGGTTTTAATGCTTCCTGGAAACAAATTCGAGCCGACTCTCGGCTGTAGAAAAAAAAAAACAATTATGAAATAGTGAGTCTACTTGGCAGCGAATTAATTACTGACTCACCAGTTACCGGTCGTAAATTAAAGCTCGTTCGACTTATGAACATGGGAGCGTTTTCTTTAAGCCGTTTTTGCTTCTTTTTGTGAGCGATTCGGTGATAAAGAGAGAAAGCAAGTTCAGTTGTGCTTCATCAATGGATATCTCAAAGTATCATCCTAGTTAAGCTCATCTCGATTTTCTGTTTTTTGTTTCAGTCATAAACGAACCAGTTGGCCTGACTTGTTCTTTTCTGAATCGTTACAATTACTTTTGTCGGATTTTCATGTTATCAAAATTATTGCAGTTGCAAGCGTAACTGACATAGACGATTATCTTGAACCGAGTAGTTGCTGTTACAATCCGAGCGATTGAAATTTTGCAATAACTTTTGAAAATTCAGTTCGTGGATATTTGGTAATCATAATGTCCAGCTACAATGAAAAATGGCAACGTTTTGATGATGTCAATGATCAAGCTCGAATGGGCCAGGATGGGAGTAGGGGGGAAGGGGAGGGCCTGAAGGGTGTTGCCTGCGACATGACAGTAACAATTTTCTTTGATAAGTCTCGACATCACGTACAGTACAAGACATAAAGATTTGAGATTTTCCAGCTATAAAAGAAGAGAATAAATATAAATGAACAAGTTTGCTTATAGTTTCATCTTTTATCTTACATGATGATACTAAAATTGAAATTTACTCTAAATTATCTCTGTCCAAAATAAATTGAACTGTTCCACTTATCGGATGATTGAAACCAATATTTGGACGTTATCTTTTTGTTGTCACAGCAACAGTGATATTTGTGTCGTCCTGGAGACGGTACTTCGGTTTCACCAAAGATGTTTTCCTCGATCATCTGAGCTTTTCCAATTGCGGATGATTTCGCTATAGTGTGCATGCTCACACGATGCTGTAACAAGCCAGTTTTCATACATTTCATCATAGTTTCATACGCTTTAACCATAAAAGCCCTTTTTTCAGACAATTTGTACAAATAAACTGTTCCGTATTCTGGTTGACTATAAATGATAAAGAGAAAGCAAGAAAATTTTAAGACTGACCTTTCTTACTTAAACTCTTTATCTTTGACCAGTTTTAATGGCGCTAATGGTGATCTCACACGCCTAATATGAACACAGGACTTGTTGCAGAGTGATGACGTTTGTAAGTCTCAAGTGACTCTTTTTAAAGAGGTTCAATATTATGTTAAACAGTTTTAAAAACTATTTAACGTAATATTGAAGTTCTAATTAAAACGTTACCTGAATCGAGCATTTTTCCTCTTCACGAATAAATTTGTAATAAGTCCTTTAAGGAAAGATGATAAATTGAACTTCTTGGCTGTATTGGCAAACTGAGACTTTCCTCTTTCGTGAGGGTTTAAGCATTTAGAAGAAACATTATTGTTTTCAACGTTAACCTCTTACAGTTTTAGAATTCGATAAATGTTAGTTTTTTATGGCATTTTCACGGAATGTAACTCTGCGGCTTGTCATGATCTTCGTTACAACTGGAAAATTACTGGAAATGTAGATTTCATTTGATGGTAATAACTCATTGAATGGGAAGCTTTAAGGGAACGTGCCAAACTAAAACACAAACTAATGCAGCAAGGATTGTGACTAAATATCAAAGAAATGTAATTAAGAGTCAGACCATTGCTGGCGTCATAGTCTAGTGTTAAAAAGCTATATATATGAACACTTTGTAATGTAGCCTGGCAACATAAAATAATTTGACAATGATGATGGGTGATCATAAATTATAAGTTTCTGTTTCTGATGTTACGTTGACCCCAAGGTCAGCCAAAAAGTGGGCGCGATGGCAAAAACAAATTTTTCAACTCATTCCATAGTTTGAAAATTTTCGCAGTAAAAAGTTGAAAAGTGTAAAACACATCTTGTTTTATGAAAGATGAGATCATCATAACGTTATTCTGCTGTTTGGGATGCCTGGGGTAACGGTTGACACTTTACTAAGTTATATACAACATATATACAAATACAATTAACTGACCGCAGGAGAGAGCGGGCTTGGATTGCCGAATAGACCGCCGCCATGTTGGTTACCCAAAGCTTTGGAAAGTTAAACTGTGAGTAGCTGTGATAAGGTTGTTCAACCAGTTTTATGGCTAAATAGTAGTATGTGAACTTAGAGAGTAGAGGTTACTTCGAAGCATCTGTGTGTACCCCATTTTTTGTATTGAACGATTAGGATGTTGGATGTTAATACGCCTGTATGAGCTCAATTTCTGATCAGACAAGTTATACTGTTGGTACTATGATCGTTTTCTTGGTTATCAGTGCAGGGTGACAGCTAAATGTTTGAATCCAAAATCTTACCTTCGATTCTGAGATAGGCGCCGTCGGTGTTTAACTCTAATTTAAAATTATGGTTATGGTATGGGTATGGTTAATTCTTTATTCTTGAAATGAGAGAATATTTTTGGTAATCTTTAGGCTCCCCTGCAAGATTTGCTGGACTAACACTATCTTTTCAGGTGAGCACGGTTTGTTCTTACTAGTGGTTAAAGTTTTAATTATCATTTTCATTGGCATTCTCAATTTTTTATGTTCAAGTGGCAACACTCGAGGGTTTAATGTACAGTGTCGCTCAAAGGTAAGTTGACAGTCCCTTGAACCTTGATTCTCGACCCTCCATACTCGATAACTTCGAGGATTTTGGCTCAAGTCGCATATCGAGACCCTTGAAGCCGGCACTTGTAAGCTCAAAGTTCATGTGTTCCAAAATTAAGTTTTGTAGATGTAAATGTAATGCATGCTTTATTCAGTATCTTCAACACTAAGACAGGGCATGTAAAGAAGAGCTGCTTGTCAAGTGCTTTGTCCTTTGCTATTGTTTTCCCTGCAATAATTAAATTGTTTTCTCAATACTGCAGTTCAAGATCCTTGAAAAGTTCTTCAAGTGTCTTGATCCCTGATTCTTGATCCTTGATGCTTAATACTTGAGCCTCCATCCTCCATTCTCAGTAGTTTCAAGGATTGAGTATCGAGTCAAGACTCAACTTACCTTTGAGCAGTACTGTTTGTACACCAATCTATCAGTTTATGTCACTTTTTCTCTAGTAAAATACCATAAGTATATTAAGAATGAAGTAATGTCTGTGGTTAAAGGCATAACAGAATGCCATGCTGTGGCTAATATTTTAAAAGAATTTGCCATTTGTTTTCCTTATGCATTTGCTCTCATTTACATGAGGTGTATACATGTGCACTGTACATTTAATTGCTAATTAGTGGCATCTATACTGTTAAAATCACTGGTATAACAGGTATCTGATATTGTGAATGTTAAGTGATACATTTACTTCAATGTATACTCTTACTTAACAAAGTCTTGTCATCGCAGCGAAATGTGAGTTACTTGCCTAAAGCAGGACCAGGTGGAAGGTCATCTTTCAGTGGAGTGGTAGCTACAGTGTTTGGTGCCACTGGATTTCTTGGGAGATATGTCATCAACAGATTAGGTAAAATTAAAAAAAAGGAATGTGACTAACTCTTGCAACTTCATAGTTCACTTTATCTATGTGACAAGGCTGACAATTTGATTGTTGAGGTAAGTATTTTGTAAATATTAACAGTGACTTTTTGAAATTTGTGTATTCCATGAATAATTAGAGAGGTAATTTTCACTTGTCAAACTATATTTTAATGATATGTACTCATCTGTAAGGTCGTCGTGGAAACCAGATCATTGTACCATACCGTGGAGATGAACATGACTACCGAAACCTTAGGATGATGGGGGATCTGGGGCAGATCATGTTTTTTGTAAGTGTTTTTTTTAAGGCCAGAGCTAAGATGAGTGAGTTACAGTTTGGGGCATTAAGAAACTGATGTTTGTATTTTTATAAAGGAGAGGGTGCATTCACTTTCAAAAGAATCCAATGAATACATTGTTCAATGGAGAGCATGTTAAGACTATCTTCACTGGTGTTCCTTTGTCAGAGACAAAAGTCAATTACAGCTAGTTGCCTCATAAAATATTCTTCCATATACTGTAAACGTCCATGTTTAAGCCGCATCTGTAAATAAGCTGCACCCCCGATTTGGAAGTACAGAATTTGGAAAAAATAAAAACAATACAGTTTGAAGTTTCAGTAGAGTTGTATTGCTACAAACAATCAAGGTTTCGAAACACCGACATAGAAGTTGTGGCTATCTTTCACATTTATCAAGTCTAAAGAAAGCAAAATTTCATTTGTTGTACCTTCTTTTTCATTGGAATTTACACCATCTCTTTAAAATGCTCTTTTGATCCGATTTTTCAAGATTATCACTACAAAGCATACCATAAAGTTGAAATTCCTTCGGCATTGAAAAATAACAAACAAGTGCTTAGTAGCCAATCTTTAAATGTTGGGAGGAGTCTGGGCCTTTCGACTCAGCTGTTTGGGGATACCACTTGTATAAAGATGTTTGGAAACCCGCAATAGGTGAAAAACTTTATGCAGAACAGGAGCCTGATAATGCAGTCGACAAATTTGCCATGAAGGTAGTAAGCGAAAATTAATCGCTTGAAAGAACTCTTGGAGAGCAAGATTCGCTGATAAACACTCGAAGACACAAATGGCTTCAGTTTCTTTTGTTTATTTCTTGGCATCTTTAGAAGTTTTATGAATATTAGGTTTTTGAGAACTCCAAACACAGATATAAGCCGCACCCTTGATTTTTGGCTTCAATTTTGTGAAAAAAAGTGCGGCTTATACATGGACGTTTACAGTAATTTTGCTGTGGGAATTAAACCAAAACTCTATTTGATATCCAATAGCCTCTAACCCAAGATATTTTGCAGACAAGTTGAAATACTTTGAATGGAGACAAAGTTTCATATTTCAAAGACTTTCACAAGGGCATAACAACATAGTCTCCTTATATGGGTATTGCCAGTCTGGACTTTGCCCCATGTGTGCTGAATATGCGATAAAAGTAAATTATCAGTTTGACTGGGAGAAAATATCTTAGCATGTGAGAATTGCATGGAAGATTGACTTACAGTAGCATTTACTTCCATGTGAAATTTTTCAGTGAGGTAGGATCATGTCATTGAGTGTAGGTTGTTCACTGATAAATGGCTTTCATCCAAGAAAGTTTAGTTAATAGTGACAATTGTATTGGGAAAATACCATTTAAATTTAAGATGTAATTTGTGAAGAACTTTTAAAAGCAGTAAGTAAATATGACTTTCTGATCTTTTCGACTTTCATGAAAAGAGCAATCACAAGGAAAAAACAAGGTTATTAATCAAATATTCTTACTGATGCAAATGCTTTGCACAATTTTAAAATTTTTTTTAATAAAAGAAAAAAACCCTTATTAGTATGTAGAGCGGTATGTTGCTTGCACCAATCAGATTGCTGCATTTAGGTATGTATCTCGCACCAATAAGATTGCAGCATAAATGAAGTCCCGTCCTAGGACGTGACCCATTACGTTGGATAAATGAGCTGACAATTCTTTGTTAATATGTCGTTCTTGGTGTTAATTACATCACAACATATTACAGTAACCTAAACCTAAATTTGGTGTGAGTAATATACTGCTTAATATGTTAACAGAGAGTTTTTTCCTTTTAATAACTCAGTGAGGGTCAGTTTGAAACATACAGTGAACATGTAAAGGTTGTATTTTCTAGATAAAGAACTGCTGAGTCCTCTCACCTGATAGTAGAATTCATCAAAATTTGAAAAATGATGTCAATATAAGTTGGTGGATGTTTGTTACATGTAGAGTATTATACTTTCAGCTGGTGGGCTTAAAGTACATTAAGAATTTTCTCATGCATGCCCTGGTGCAAATTATATCAACCATCATTGGAATGTATGTTTAAATTAGATGAGCCAAATCATTATTAAAAGTTTCCACTTGAACCAGTCAACATAATCATATACATGTATCTTCTGTATAGGAAGAGCCTCTGGTAGTTTTCAATTACCAATTGGTTATATTTTTATGAATGATTTTTGACCAAATGGTTCCTAAAGTAAAATCAAGGGTGATACCATAAAGCAGGAGAAGTTTTTATTTGAATGTACAATATGTATATGTATAATATGTAGACCAAATTTGAAATTTCTTTTTTTTTAAAAATTGCTGTTGCTGGACTATTCAAAAGTTACAATTTCCCTTTTTTTATATTCAAGGATTATCATCTAAAAGATGTTGATTCTGTGGCCAAAGTTTTGAAACATTCCAACTGTGTGATCAACTTGATTGGCAGACAGTTTGAAACAAGGTGGGTTTCTGATTTCAATACAAAAGACATTAGAGTAGAAACGATGTTTAAGGACTTGTGTAATTTACACCAGTTCACAAAGTTATAAATATAACAAATTTTTAGCCATGACCCTATCCCCCAGCTGCACCCCTCCTCCCAAGAGTTGGCATTATTATTATTTTTTTTTTTTGGTGCTTAACTGATAACAAATACAGAATATACCTGTTTACCAGTGTATGATAACTGCAGAGGTACAGGAGGTGTTTACTGATAGCTTCTCAGAGGAAAGAATCCAAACCTAAGTAGAGCTTCAATTGAAAAACATAATTCAACCTCTGTGCTAGAGCCACCTCAAGCGTGGGGTCTAGCTTTGTCCCTATACTTCATTTACTTAAATTTACTTGTACATTCTTACTCATCATATACAATGTGGCATTATTTTTTAATATTTTTTGCCCAGGAACTTTACATTTGAGGATGCCCATTGTGAGGGAGCTAGGGTTATTGCCAAAGCTGCTCGGGAAGCAGGAGTCAAACGTTTAATCCATGTGTCAGCACTTAATGCCAGTGAGGATAGTCCATCAAATTTTCTACAGTCAAAGGTTAATCACAGTCACACATTTTCATTCTTAATCTATGGCAATTATTGCCATAGATTAAGAACAGAAAAAAAGCTGAAAATTGTAGTTTTGTCTAGATACCTGCGATGATTGTTTAGCCTGTGGGCAGCCTGTGGTATGTGTTATTGAAAATATGTGACCTAGCCTCTGTGTTGTGTTCTTTAGAGAGGTTTCCTCTCCTATGTGTAGCATGAAAATGAAATTTACCGGGGAACTGTACTTAACACTTGGAAGAAATTATAAAAAAAATTAGAAATTTAATTAAATAGAAAATTTAAAACCTCTCTTTAGAAAGCCATATGATGAAATTTGTTTCTATGGGGTTGAATTTTAGACTGAAGTGACAATTAATTTATTCAGATTTAGCAGATGTGAGTTTTCCTCGTTTGGTTTTGATAGTTGTTTTAACATATGTTTTTGTGGAGCTTTATGGTTTTTTTCCTTTCACATTTAGATAGATTCTTCTCTTAAAAAATGCCATAATACTAAATATGATATTGCCTTAGTTCTTCTGTACTGAAACAACTTTGTGTTTTACTTAATATGTGATAGGCTCGTGGGGAGGCTGCTGTTAGAGAAGAATTTCCTGATGCTACCATTGTGCGACCTGCAAAGTTTTTTGGCCATGAAGATCAGTTTTTGAACTACTATGTGTGTAAGTTCATGTTGAAGATAAGTTACCAATGGTGTGCTTTCAATACACTTTCTAACATATAACCTAATGATAAATTTAATTTAAAATTTGACTTGTTAACTGAGTTATTTTCTCTATCTTCTTTAAGATCTTGGTAATATTCCTTTTGGTATTCCACTTATTGATGGAGGCATGAACACAACTAAAAGGCCTGTTTATGTAAGTGAACTGTAAGCATAACTTTCATGAGCAGAGCAGCATTGCAGTACCTAAAAATTTGTGATGTGAACTATATTTACATGTAGTCATCTCATGGAAGTGGGCTACCACCACCCATCTGCAAGATCATGAGAATTTCCATTTAATCCAGGTATTAGGTACAGTATAGAAGTTTCTTTAAAAGTTTTGAGGCTTTGTGTGGGATGTTTGCAAGAAGGGTAGTGAGGAATGTAAAAATAGATACTTAGGTGTGGCATCAACAGTGGTTTTGTAGATTTGTGAAGGAATGATTTCAAGACAGTGTATAAAAATAATATTTAGGAAGTTACCCCAATTTCTTTATGATAGTTTCTAAGCATTTTTAACATGGTTTATTTGTCTTATGTGGCTTAAAATCATCAAATTTGGAGCAAATTGGGTATCTGGATAGATTGTATAGCTTGATTGTGTGTAGGCATTAAGATAGTATAACTAAATCAATGATTATGTTATGTTGATTTACTCTTTATGTGATTGTTGATAAAAACGTTTTCCATTTTGTTTCCAGGTGGCTGATGTTGCCCAAGCAATAGTAAATGCTGTCAATAATGATGAGAGCATAGGGCAAACATTTGAACTTACAGGGTAAGATCTGTAATACCATTTTATGTTATGAGTTGGGTCAGAATTTGATTCTTACCACACTGATTTCATTTCTGATCTGTACCTGAACAGATACACAAGCACATGGAATTTTACTTTTTCAATATTTATTGTAGACAATATAAATACAGTTCATAGCAGAACTCGCTTCAAAATGATTTCATGACAAAACTTGGTTGGTTTTTGCTTACATAAATGTATGTGACAGAAGCTAATACCTGTTTCTCTGTTGCCTCCCCACATTTAATTGTTAACTGTGGTAGGGATGTTTGTTTGTTTGTTTCTTAATTTACTTTTTTATTTTTTTTCATAGCCCAGAAGAATATTACTTGCTTGATATTCTGGACTACATCTATCGGTTGATTAGGAAAGAACTTCCTTACTACAACATACCAAGAAATATGTACAAGTAAGCTGTGATTGAACAATCCGTTAGTCTATTATCATTATTCTTATTGCTTTGTTTACCTGACATGTTATGAATTGTGTGATTATTGTTGTGATTTTTTGTTTATTACAAAATAAACTTCATGGACGCTATTATAGCTTTTATCATCTGAGGCTATTACCCTTTGCTTTCTTTTTTTCTTTGCCTTCTCATCTTATTCTGTTTAAGGAAAAAGTTCTATTGTTTGATTATTGTGTTACCTTCCAGCCTTATAGCCTGGGTCATGGAGCAGTCCATATTCAACCCGCGTCTTACACGAGATATGCTGTTTAGGGTAAGAATGGAGTAATGTAATTTCCTGCCGTTATTCCACTGCGATTGGTCGGTCACGAGGCTCGTGTATTTATTATAACTGAAACCTCACAGCCGAACCACAGCTTGTCAGTGTAATCAATGTCTACCAGTGTTGACTGTAACTAAGATTTATTCAAGTTTTGTAGTTGTTTTTTTTCTGGTTTTTTTTTTATCAGGAGTTCCTATCAGACCAGGTTACACCAGGTTTACCAGGACTGAAAGATCTGGGAGTTGAACCTCATTCAGTTGAAGATATCGCCATATCGGTTCTTCGGCGCCACAGGGACTGCTATTTCTTTGAGGATTCCATCGATAGTGAGGAACCGTGTCGACCTAGCAGCTCCTACGCAACTCAATAAACATTGTCCGTTCTTTTGAGTGAAGAGGGCTTTAATTGTATATAATGACTTCTACATCAGCACACTCTCCGTGCTCTTTTAAAGATGGTTTTGCTACTTTTTGTGTCCTCGGTTAAGACATGGACATGGCTTGGATATTTGAAATTTATTATTTTTCCTCATTATTAGTTGTTATGGTGACCTAAATATGATGAATAAAGATGGTACTTCCACTAAATAAAGTGTGGTTTGGTTTCTTTTGATCATGTAGTTTTCTATTGATATAACGCAATGAATAACCGAAGGGAGACACAGTTGTAATCTCAGTCGGTCAGTGGGCAGTGACAACCGTAAAAAAGGCGTGGACCTTGGTACGATTCTTTTGAAAATATCTTCCTCCTTTTCTCTTTGTCGGTTTTTCTCGCGAGAAATTCTGGCACTTAAAGAACGCTCTACATTGAGAGGGAGGCGTTACAGGATGACGAGGATTTCCGTAAGAATGAGAGACCGTGTAATACTACCATCACATTTACTTTCAACAATACTGTAATGCTATTCTCCCACAATGTGATGCGAATAGAAAGGCGAATTTTCGTTACCAATTCATAGCAGTCAAACATCGCTCATGAAAAGTTGTATCTAATACAAATTTGATAATAGCACCGTTGACTGTCATCATTTTGAAGCAATAAGTTCTGTGTATTGTAACGGGAAAAACTGTTTCCTTTTTTCGAGCCATCACAGGTTGGAAGATATCTTTCTCAAAATTGAAACACAGTGGATAGAATCAGTAACCAGGCTGTTGAGGCGTATTGAAAGGCCGGCAATTGACTTAAAGAAACAATGAATTTTACAAAACTAATCGGACCAGACATTCTTCTTTAATTTCACGTTTCATCTTTTCCATTTTCGCGATTTTTAGCCCTTAGATGCCATCTAGAGCACGGAAAAATAAAGATCCTTGTGCCCAGGCCCAATATCCAATGCGAGGAAGGCTGGGTTGCTATGAAGAATCGATCATGGCTTCAGTTAGAACTCGACCAAATATTTTGGTGACGGGAACTCCAGGAACTGGTAAAACTGTAACGGCGAGTGAGCTGGCACAAAAGACAGGACTGAACTACATTAATGTGGGCGATTTGGCGAAAGAGAAAGACTTGTATGACGGATGGGATGACCAATATGGGTGCCATGTGCTGCATGAAGACAGGGTAGGTACACAAATGGTTAATAATGTATTATACACAAAGATTGATGAATTATTGTCTACAGGACAACAGGACAGCAATTAGTCATGCATAAACATTTTTTGATTTAGCCAGTAGAATTTTAGACCTCTGTGGGAGGGCTACTAATAACTTATATAAAATAAGCACGGCAGTGATAATTTCGAACTGTTTTTCTTTGTGGGCATCCCCTCGCCCCTCTTCACTCTTTAAGATCTTGTTTATTTGCTCAGAACCACCCCCCTCCATTAATGATTTACAAACCTTGATGATAAAAATACTTTCCTCCACCCCCCCCCCTCCCCCCACTTTCTTGAAAGTAACTAACCATAATTGTCTAGTTTATCTAATATATTTATAGCTTACTTACAGGCAGACCACTTACCCTCTCCATTCCCAAACTCTATGGCTGAAGTATCAAATCCATTATGGCTCCCTCCATTTTAAGGAAATGAACTCCCTTTCCTCACCACCTAATATCTTCACAGCTCTTTTATTATTATGTTTTTGTTTATTTGTTTATTTACTTCAGGTGATTGATGAATTGGAGGATCAGATGAGTGAAGGCGGTAACATTGTTGATTATCATGGTTGTGACTTTTTTCCAGAGAGGTGGTTTGATATTGTATTTGTGTTACGAACAAACAACACAATACTTTATGAAAGGCTTGAAAAAAGGTAAACTTACTTCTAAACTTTATTAATGATATCAGATTTAAGCTTCTCTGACTATTATTAATTACTGTGTGCATTAGGCCTAGCATAAACCTATATATCAGGGCTGAATGATTCCATTTAAACAATTGAAGTGTTCTCCCAGTAGATTTCATCCATTTAAAAGTTCAATGTGTTTCACGTAATTTATAAAATTCCAGCAGTGTGAAGGATGTTTGCTGATGTAGCTTTGCATAGTATAAAGTATTATTTGTCCTCATTATACTGTATGGACACAATCTTTGAATGCATTTTTCATTAAACATGCAGTTTAGTAGTGATGAAAACTTCTATACCACTTTTGTCACTCACTATAAGTTGATTCATTGTAACATAACAACTGATGTGGAAGCTAAAGCAGAAGTAGAACAAGTGAATTGTTTTATAAGCTAAGGTAGATCTATAATTACATTCAGCTAATTGATAGTTGGAGTCTCTCATAGCTCAGTGGTCAGAGCATTCAAGTGCTAATCAGAGGATTTTGCATTGTATGAGGTAATGCAAAGTAAAATATGGTATTTTTTCCTTTTTTTATTATTATTCCTCAGGGGCTACAAAGGGAAAAAGTTAACTGAAAATGTGGAATGTGAAATTTTTCAAACAATACTTGAAGAAGCTAGGGAAAGTTACAGAAACGAAATAGTTCATGAACTGCAAAGTGACTCTCCTGAACAACTAGAAACAAATCTTGAGCAAATAGAAGCTTGGATTCAACAGTGGTCCACCTAGCAGTAATAGATTGTTTTCAACTTAACTTATTTTTTACATTGATAATTTGTGGAAACACTAAGGTTTTAAAACATTGAAGAAAACTGAATTGAATTATGTTACTATTAAGCATTAAAGATGCCTAAAGGGGTGCAATAAAGAGGTGTTACTTCATCGCAAGGCATTACTGGACAGGCTCAACTGTGTTGGATGATAACAAGCAATATCAAGTGCTCATCAATGCTGTAATATAATGGTCTCTTTTGGCACTCTGTGAGGAGCCAAATGTCATGGTCAGCCATCATAATGAAATGTGTTTTGTGTCAATTTTGATTTCAAACGTAGCAGAAGAGATTCTTAATAAAAGAAAATATATGCAATGAAATGTGTTGGAATGTGAGTAGTTGTGATGTTCAATTCAGCCAACACTATGTTATTAGTTAACACTACCTGATATTTTGAAATGTGATCCAGGAGGCCATTACTTCCTGTGTGAACCGATTATTTCTCTACTTCCAGTCCCTTTTTTCCTTTGAAATATAGTTAGATTATGAAATTTGTCATCAGTTCATCAAAGGAGTTTTAGGTGCCCTTCATTTAATACTTTTGGTGAATTTCTAACATTTGAAATTGGACTGTAACCTTGCTTTCTCCACCTCTGACTGTTGACTGACAATTAATTCTTGCAACTCCGTGAAAGGCTTTTGATGGGCTGGTAAACTTGTATGGGAAGTGAAAAAGAATGATAAAAGGGGAAGATATGGGGGTAAACAGAGTGAAAATTACCTAGGAATGACCCTAAGGAGAGTTTGAAATGTGTTTTCTTTTTTTTTGGTTATAATTAAGCTTCAAAATTGTAGTAGCTTTGCGAGAGAAGAAAACACACAAGAATCCAGGACCACAACAATTTTATTGGTAAGATGGTGGACTCTCAAAAGCACATGGTTGCAAAGGTCACGTTACAAAAATAAAGTAAATAAAATTTATTTCAATATTTTGAACACAATCTAGAAATAGAGGTGCTCTAACTGGGTGTAATTTATTTGGGGCTGTATAGGAGGGGAGAGGGTCTCATAAGCAGAAGTTTGCATTATTCATGGTGTTGAAGATTTCCATTCAAGGGACAGAACCTTGTGTGGCTTGGCGTTACCTTTTTAATCTTGGGCCAAGAGTCTCTTCGGTTTTACTAAAGGTTTTCCAGAGATCCGGTCTCGTTAAGTTTTAGGTATCGCTGGCTCAGCTTGACAAGCAATCCAACATGGCCGTTACTTTTCTCCGACAACGTGTGTTAAGCAATCAACAAATTTGCTGCACCTGGCGGTTTGTTTGCCGTCAACTCTGCGCTGTAGCCGTACAACAACAACATAAAGAAACTCGTCAGACTGGAGTTCCATTGATAGTCCCAAAACATGTGATCGCCAAAGCTTTCATCGTGCATCCTTCGACAACAAGTGTGTTTGAAGCCAGCTCAAAATATCAGTGGCTTACTAAAACCAAGTTGTTCGAGGGACTACCTGCTCCCTTTTCAAACGTAGACAATTTCCTGGATGATAAAGAATATGAACATCTGAGAGAAAAATTTAAGGAGTCCATCCTACAAAATCATGCTTTCCGCAAAGAAGGAATTAGTGCTAACCACAGGTTTAGACGAAGAGGAGAGGAAATGACCATGGGGTTTTTGCAAGATTTGCTTAGGTTTGGATGGTCGTTATCTGATCGACATCGTCATTTGGATGATTGTTTTCTTGATTTGAAGCCCAAGATGAGGATCCACTGGGCCAGACATCATAACTTTTACCAGTTGGACCAAGAGCCGGCATTTGTTATTCGAACAAAACAACCATCCCAACTTCTAGAGCCAAGTAAGTGAAACAACTTAACTCTTTGATTGGAACATTGACAGTATAAATCAACTCAGTTGCTGTAGTTCTGATGAGAAATTTCTTATTACACCTTATTAGTGGAGTATGAGGTCTGTGTTTGAAATACTTGTCTAAGTAGGTAATCAATATGAAAAACGGAAAAATCACAATACAACCAAACTCAATTAAGTGTGTTCAAACAGCAAAAACAAGTTTTCTGTTCTCCAAGTGTGGTTTGGTTTTGTTCAATGGTCAAGCAGTGAACAAAAGATATTTGCAAAGTGCTATCACATAGTTTGTGATCTGAGAATACTATGTCTACGATATTAATTTTATTGGGCTTAATTTTAATGGCCCAACTATATTTTTATTCAGTTGTGGAGCTGTTGTGTAGTGTATTCTCTTGTTACTTTACACTGTTTCCTACTGTTACATTTCTTAATGGAAACCATGGTTTCAGAAAACTTAAATCTTTTTATGGCCTTCTGAAGGTGTAATTCTTTCCCTGACATTTTCTGCCAAATGGTATAGGCAGGTTGAGTGGCCCATTATAGTGAACTGTAGACCTAAACGTAGGTGAAGGAAAGCACTGATATCAAGCCCATGATGCCTTGTGGCTATAATCGCTATAGGAAAGATAGACTGAGATAACTTTGAAAAGAAGTTGGAGAGCAGAATTCCAAGGCAGTTCTGCCTCTTACCCTGTTTCATAGCAAAATCCTGCGGGACCCCCATTCCCAAACTTTACTTGCTGTAGACCCTCTTAAGTATGGATCATCCAATAGTTGAGAGAGACAGTCTACCTGATACAGAAGGTGGTGTCAAGAGTTAGTATCATTGGCTGTGTTAGAAGTTTCGTCACAAAAGGGGCAGCAACACTTGTTCACAACACTTTAATTCTTCCATGATATGATTACTGTGACATTGCCTGGAGTAACCTTCTACAGCGAGATATAGATCAACTGCAGTACCCACAGAATAGATCTGCATGGATCATCACGCATTGCTCTCACTCATCTGAGGCAATAGAGCAGCTGCACTGGCCAACTCTTTCCAGTAGATGCTCTGAGCACATTAGGCTTAACTCGTTTTTCTCTGTCTTCACTCATTAGTCCCTAGTTATTTTTCATTATATTTTACTAGATTTTTGATCATTCACAATTATTCTGCAAGGCAAAGTATGAGGCTATCCCTACCAAACATGAAACAGAATTTTGGGAAGAGGACCTTTCTTTTAAGTGGTGCAAAAATTTTTAACAAACTCCTTGTAAACATTTTGAAGAGTGAAAACCCTCAGATGTTCTGCCCCCAAGCAAGACATTTCTTTTTATCATGAATTTGATGTTTTATTATATTTTAGGCTCTAAAAGTGATTTTGCATTGTACTTTCTAGGCTCTTAATGTAGTTCATCAATTCTGTTGTTGTATTTGTATTAGGCTCTTTGAATGTGATAGTTTATGAAAATTATTGATGTAAATTGATTTTTAAAGGTACAGGGTCCCTATGGAGACCAGCCTTGGAGCTGAATAGGCTACCCTGTGTAAATTAAGTTTTAACTACTACTATAGACACAAGTTTATACTAAGGCATACACCACTTAAGAGAGAGTAATCCACCCTTGCTGCTTAATAACATTACAACCTTGGAAGCAGCAGTTCACCAGTGATAATCCAAGCTTGGTATGTGTAGAGGTTATGAGGTCTTATTTGATAGTTATCGTTTATCAAGCTTAGCAAATATGATTTCCAGCATTCAGGGTATGGAGTTTCATATTTACTGTAAAAATACACTTACACTTTGCCAAAACTAATCTAACTCATTTTTGTTTTCTTTACCTACAGATGTAGAAAAAACATCCTTGGAAACAATCCCTGGTCCATTTGATAACTACAGCATCAATGTCTTCCGCCATCCCATCTTACATCTACAGAACAAACCAGGCTTTCAGAACAGTGCATTTTACAAATACCCCTACAATCATGTAATGTTTCTGACAAACATAAGCAAACTGACGTATGATCAGCAGCAAGCTTATGGAATCATGAGCATGTTTGGTTCTCTGGTTGCCCTGGCAATGGATTATGGTGTTCAGATGGGTCAACACTTGCAGAAGCCACTTGTTACTAAGTGTGTTATCACAGATGGAATCCAGTGCACTTTGATGTGCTATCAACTGAACACACTCTCATTTCAGGAAGACTTTGGAATCAAGAATTGTGCATGGGTTTCACACAGCATGAACCTTTTTGAGGTAACAAATGCTAAACACAAACCACTTTTATTTGAGACTTTGGATGTGGACAACAAAGTTTGTGGTTTTAATGATGAATGTTTCAAAACTGTTTTAGCTTTCCTTTGCAAGGAAACTGTGAGTCATGAACCATTTTAGAACCTTTTAGTTTCTATATTGTCTACAGAAATTTTAAAATTTGTTTCACCTTCTGGATGAACATTCAATCACATGTCAAGGTGGGCAACACTAGCCTCTATAATGTAATTAAAGTTTGTACATTAGTTTTACAATTGTATAACTAAATAATTATCTTCAAGTACTGCAGTTATTCAATAAGAACTTACTAAAAATTGCTATTTTAAAAGAGGAGAGAACAAAATTTAGATGCAATGCATCTTGAAAACTGTCAGGAGGGCTGTTAAATGGTTAAAACTGTTTTACACTCAGTTGGAGATTTATATGTCAAGTCATTGATTTTCTGTTTTCCTGTGTTATGTGTTGATTGTAAAATTGAAGGTGTTTTTCATCAAAATTTCTGCAAGATGGAGGTTACTTCAGTCTTTAAATACAAAAAGAGGTTTGAATCACTCTTCCGCCATATACTTTGTCCTTAGACCCAATGATAGGAAAATATGCAGCTCTACATAGATCAGATGCAGCAGCTAATGACATGTACCCGTTAATGAGCTTTGCAGCAGAATTGTGAAACTTTTCACTTTGCATACAGTAGATAAATGAATTTAAGGTGGCATTTAAGTAGCATTCAATGTTAATCCAGGGTTGTATTCTTGGATACAACTAATCATTTTGTTGAACCACTGTGTGAACAAATATCACCGTTAATACAAACAGATTTCTCAGAGTTCCAATAATCAAAACGAGCCCATCCAATGTGATAACTGGTATAGCAATCATCAAAGACGGTCTTCGGAACATGTGATTTGATGTACTCACATCAGTTCCGTTTGGATACATTCTCCCACGTAGACTCATGGGTGAATTCTATAAAGAGAAAGCATTGTGTGAAGTGAGGATATGATTCTGGGAAGCAAACTGATTGTGATGAGTCCTCCAGGCCTCACGAGAGGGACAATCACGATCTATTATATGATTGGAAATCTTCTCTTTTTAATAAATTTAAGAAGAACTTTTTTGACGTTTGCAAATGAGAATGTGTTGGGTGCTATTTTTATTCTTGGTACGAAATAACATAGTTTGTTATTGCCGGCGACTTAAACGGACTGATAGCATGAGCCCTGATCACGAGCATTACCTGTTTAATCGGAACCCAAGTGTAGCATCAAATATGGCCTACTTATTTATTTCGGTAACTTGAAATAAACCAGCAGCCGTGAACTTCTTAAAATTGAGTTTATGAAAGATGGATCAATTATCTTGACCGTAGAACAGTATTTGGCATTAAGTGAATCTTCCTGTACTTCCATGTTAGCCAAGAACCAATAATATGGATCGGGGTCAGTTTTGGTACGTGCCCGTATGAGAAGGGGGGGTCGGATATTGAGCCTGCACTTCTCCACCACTAGCCGGCCTTATCTTTAGATATCTTAAGGTTCATACTGCACAATCATTACAGGAATTGAACCATGAGTTGGAATGACGAAAAGAAGTATTAAGAAGTATCAAATTTGCCCCGAACTAGGTCGACAATAAATAAATTCTAAACCTGCAAATATTTTCGGGAAACATTAACGCATTAAAAAAACCAAATGCTTTGTCAGGAAACTTCAAGTTACGCCATTTTCAATGAAAATCCTAATTTATCACGAAAATGAAATTGTGAAGAGGAAGGACGTGTTTTGTGGACACTGTTTGTAATCTAATACCACTGATACGCCACTCTGTCTCCACACAGGTGAGGCAAACTCCGCTAATTTCATTCAAACGTGACAAAAACATAAGCAAGTTTTTGGTCAGAAGTTCATTTCAAATCAGTGACCAACCTGGAACTTTAAAATGCTCTAGCTCACAATGCAAAACTTGTCCTTTCAGTCACAACGAAGAGAAAAAGTTGAGACCCAAGAGATGTGATAAAGATCACTGATCACTTCACGTGCACCCTCGCCAATGTCACCTACTGCATAACTTGCACTTGTTGCAAAAAGTTATACATTGATGAAACAAGAAGACGACTAGGTGGCCGAGAACACCTTCGCGACGTAGAAAGAAATGACAAGGACGCATCCAAATCAGTCGGTAGACACTTAAATCTCCTTAACCATTCTAAGCAACATATGGCAGTTTGCGGCCTTTCCCTACATCTAGGTAGTTCGGAAAGCCGCAAAACTCTAAGACAAAAATATATCACTCAAATCGGCACTCTTAATCCCCACGGTATCAACGAGCGCTTTTCATTCAATTGATTTATTCTTGTTTTCTTGTCACCATATTTCCACCAATAACGTAGCTCTATATAAACACGCACAACCCGCAATTCCTCCAATTGCTCCAACCAAGGGCTAACGCTCGAAACGTCAGATTTTAAACTCTTTACGGTGGCCAATTTACGTTATCAACTCAGTTGATAAAACTAAATTATCCTGTTATACTCTCCCATCCGATGCAGCACTACAGTTTCTTTACAGACTTACCCCCTTTATTTATGAGGCAAACTGAGCCTCGCATCTTTAAATCACGATGTGAGAAGCTTGTTAACAGATCTACGAAACTTCTCACTTCGCACAGAGTAAATTAACGGGTCTAAGGTAGCATTCAAATAGTACACTGTATTTATCCAGACTTGGAGTCTTGGGTACAACCAATCAGTTTGTCGAACCACTGAGTAAAATATCACTGAGGGAAACCAGCAAAGTGCGTACACACCCAATACAATAGCCATTGTCTTGGCCGACTTGCTCTCCCAGAGGAGTTGAGTCGGCCGCATATTATAGTTAGCCGGCGTTGAAGCTATTTTCTTTTCGTGTTTTAAGGCAACGAAGAACATGTAAAAGTATAGTATGAATGTAACCAAAAGTAGCAAGATGCAGTAGGTGTTTTGAACGTAAATGATATTTAAACCGTGGAAAATACCGGTAATTATTGCACCCGAGGTCCAAGTTAGGAAAGAACACACTGTAGCTTTTGTCTTCGTGAACAGGGACTTGTAACGAAATGGAAAAGCAATGGCTATGAAACGCTCCAATGCGATAAAAAATAAACTTGTTGAGGCAGCAGTAACAATAAACTGAGCCAGTACACGGTGCAGCAACACCAATGTCCTGTCCGCGTGACAAAGTCCCATTCTAGCACACAAGTGACGTGCAATATCACCTGGAATCAGCACGGTAACGGTCAGTAAATCAACACAAGCCAAGTTCGCTATCAAGATGTTGGAAACTGTTGAGAAACGAAGCGCAACAAAAATCACTGCTAATACGAGAAGGTTTCCTAACGTCCCAAATATGGAAATGAGTCCATCAAGCGCAATAACAGCTCCACCTGTCGCATCAGTTAAGATGGTCGGTGTTTGACGACTTAAATTTAAAGTGGCGAGTCGAGTGGTGTTTTCATACATTCTGCCTAACACTCGATGTGGAGAACTGAAAAAAGAGAAAAATGGAAGGCATTTTAAACACGTTATGAACCTCGTAATTCACACATAAAGAAATATTAACAATTAGCACCATCAGAAAAAAAGCATAAACTTTAAGTGGTCATTCATGGTTTTAAAAATCTTTTTTCATGCATACCATTTAAAATATAGATATTGTTCAAGATTTCCTGGCGCTTTATGCGCCCATTGACTTATGATAATTGAAGCCAAACTTTTAATTAACCAATCATAGGAAAATCTACAACCAATAACTGAGCACATGTCCTTCGAATTTGTTGGTGCAGTATCAGGTATTATTCGAAGCGGGCATATATGCATAGTCGTCAAACTATTATAGAAGATGAATGGTTAATTTCTATTTGCTCCTAACTTCGTCTTCAAAGAGAGGTGTAAATATTTGTTGTTAATCTCGATATTGGTCACTTTTTTATTACTGATTTCTTCTGCAGCTTGTTATCAAATATTTGACCATCTGTGAATTGGATGACCAGTACATAGGTCATCATGGCCTTCTTGGTTTTGAACTGACTTCCAATGGAGACCACAGTGGAATACTTAGGGGGCTCTCAAACTTTCAGTGTACAGGTTAGAAATCTAAGTAAGAGGGTGGCCAGCTCATCATAACAGAATATAACTAGAAATCTTCAAAGAACATAGTACATTCACCATTTATAGAACAAATCATTGGATAGAAAAACGTAGCTAAAATATCATTAACTGGCTTGCTCTATTGAGGACGCCATGTAAAATCCGTGGCTGGTAGCTGCTAGAGGGAGACTGGATATGTAGAAATATATATTTTTAAATAATTCTCTTAAATAATCAGTCGACGCGATGTGAAGAAATTCTTAGCGGCTCAGGCTGTGAGTTCAGCCAGCGTTTGGATAGGAGAATTGCTTTCTGTTTTAAAACATTCTTAGCTGGTATAGCATCTTAAACAAATAAAAACGTCATCAACCAATGGGTTAACGACAACTGTTTCTTGTAAAAAACGTTTATTCCAATAGTAAGGCCCCAATCGCCTATCACCAGTGTTGCTATACGCAAACCAGAAAATATTGTAGATAAAGAGAGCGCTTTAGTGTTTGATTCTACCTTACTTGCTTTGGCAACTGTGAACAGTTAACCTCTGTCAGCTCCGCTTTTGAACGTTCACTCGACTGAAATTCGTGGTGAAGTAGTTTCTCTGCCTGGAGGTAGTCAAAGAATGTAATAACAACTTGTTTTTTTTCCACATGCATTAAGTGAAACACCCACTCATTACAAGCCCGAACAATATTGTAAATTTTCACATGGTTGAATGAACTGCGCCTATATATTTGTCTCATTAAGATTCCCAGGCTATCTGTACGCCGACAATTGACACACATGTTACGAAGTTTATTGATTTGAACATATCTCTCACTCATCTCTATTGAAGATGAAAAAGATACATATATTTCAAGAAGATTGCCTTCCGCTCACCCCAAAGTCTTCGTCTGTAGGGCTTGAAAAATTTTTATGAGTGTTTGAAGGATCACTTCTTATTGTGGTAAATGAAACGGCGTAAGTAAAGTTAATTCTTATATTGCGCTCATATTTCAATACCTAACGACACTGACTGTCCGTTTTACCCAACAAACCAATCGGAACACAGAGATCAGTTGTCATGTTCCGTCATCATTCGCTAATGTTTAGGTGCAGCTCGCCAGATGAACCTTGTCAAGACGCGGGATTGACCTGACCAAAAGGGTTGAGGTTCAATCAATTTTTGTCGTGTAAACATAATCTCAAGAAGCCTTTTCAGGCTTCTTGAGATCAAAAATCTGGAACCACAACTATCCCGTCGTACTCGAGTTTGAAATAATTTTTATCACCACTATTGTCTCTCCTCTTTTGACGTATTTGGTCACCAAAAATACTGACCCGGGTCAGTCTCGAGGTAAACCACGCCAAGTGCAGCCTGGGAAAGCAAACCTCCAGGTTATTACTGCAGTGATTCGTCCCATGCACTTGAACAAATCAACCAGGGGTCGTACAAAGAGACAAAATAAACTGAAGTGGACAGGCCGGGTCATCTCTTCCTGCCGCGTAACCCCTGTTGACAAATTCTTAGAGGTGAAAAAACAATTAACGGTGAAAATCTTTACAGTAAAACTCTTTACTTTACTCTCTGAAACTCTTTTCGGCGGCAAATTTACGTTATCAACTCAGCTGATGGTACTTTGTTGACACTCAGGTTTGAATTTCTCTATTTTTCCAATGTAAAGACCGGTCTGAAAGCTCTCTCGGTCTTGTACTTTCTCTAAAGTAACAATTTTTGTCTCGCCGTGGCTATTCTTTCTTTTTCTTTATCCGCTGACATATTATTAGGTGTTTGGTCGCCAGAAAGGTTGGACCAGGTCATTCTCATAGCAAACAATACACCAGTAGAGACTGGCTCCTCGGGTTCGTGTATAAAGTACTTGTATTATTTGGCACTCTTTATGTTGATTCAAATCGGGCTCGTGATCAGAGGCACATGAGGTACAATTTATGACCGATTTCCTTTGATTTCGTTAAAAAGGTGAGAGATCTCTGAAACCTTTCCTGCGATGTACTTCACTCCGAAACCATTGCTGTAATGTTAATCATACAGTAAATTTCAAAAAATACTTTTGCATATATCTGAATTTAAAGATAGTTTAATTTTGAATTTAAAACTTTCTTAGCTTTATAACAAATATAATCTTTCTCCTGTCGGCTATCGTGTCATGTTCCATGCCGTGACAAGGCTCTTCGAAAACTCCGTAAAGTCATTGCATAGTCCTGGCCAGTTGTCACCTGTAACGAATCATACAAGACTTCACCATCTTTCTCATTGTCTTCCGAAAGTTAGCGCTTCGTACGCAGTAGATGTATGGATTTAAAGAGGCATTTAAATAGTATATTATGTTAATCCAGTTCTGTATGTCGAAGTATCGTGGATCACTTGGAAAAACTACTGAGTAAAATATAAGAGCTGGGATCCATGCAGCACAAAATACACCAAGAATTATTGCCATTGTTCTCGTCGACTTTCGTTCATGTAAGAAGTTTGTATTTCTTTGCACGTTTGAAATCTGCAAGCTGGCAATCTGTCTTTCTTTTTTCAGAGCAAACAGGAAGATATGAATGTACAAAAATATTGTCACCAACATGATGACAGTGCAGTATGCAGGCTGTATATATATAAAGTTTAGTACCATAAAAACAGCTGATATAAATGCCCCTAACAGCCACGTAAGGGAGATAATGACGACAGCACGTCGTTTTGTCATCATAGAAGTGTACTTGAATGGATATTTAATGGATAAAATACGGTCTACAGCGATCGATAATAAACTTGAGACTGCAGCAGGCGCGATAAACTGTGAAAGTCCACGATTTGCCACAACAAACGTTTCTGGGACGTGACAAAAACCTTTCCTGCACATATATTTATAGATACCACCAGGAGAGACGACAAACAGACTTAATAAATCAATTAGGGCCAGGTTTCCAAGAAGTAGGTTAGATGGTGTTGCAAGTCGAATGTTGAAAAAAATCACCAAAAGTACCAGTAGATTACCCAGTGTACCCAAGATAATTAGTAGTCCGTTTATTGTGACGGCTGATAGAACTAAGGCCAGGTTTGGAGGCGTCACCGAAGGGCTCGCACTTGCTGTCATCGTGGTTTTCCTTTGGAAGTTTGTAAACAGAACAATGATTAATAATCACTTTAGAATACGATTATTGCTTTGGTCTTTTCGACAAATATGTTATGAATGTCATTACGTTAAAGCAAGAGTATGTGAATGGATAGCCACCAACAGGAACATAGTGATGATGTTCATCTTGGGCGGGCGGCTTTCCTCCATTGCCAAATATCGCTTCCCCCTTCCAGAAAGAGCTAAAAATAATTTTACTGATGTTCATAAAGATGAAGACGATGATGAAGTGAGTACGATAGGTTTTTTTTTATCTCATCACTGTACAACTTCCGATTGGGAACAAATGTTAACAACCTTATTTAGTGCTCCTTATTATGTTAAAACGCTCGTAAAATATCAGTCACCCTTGGAGCAATTCAACTGTTGAAGGATCTGGTAAATATTTATAAGTGGTTTTAGCTGTCAAAACATAATTTAGTCAATTTAGTCTCTTTGCTGACTGTTCTCCATACAGAGAAATCATTGTCCATTTTTCTCCTTGCTGAAAGGCTTTGACAATTTGAACGAGTACTCTACGATAGAATCCTCATGCAATATACTCTAAGTATACCGAAAGGAAAGAAATGATATCCCCGACAGTTTTCGTGCTTCCCGTTCATTCTTGAATCTACTGCGTTTCGAAAATTCCACTCTGTCATAACCATACCTATTGCACATCTTTTAGAGGTTACCACTCTTTAGTGCGACATTTCACCCGGTAAATAAACTACTCGGAAAAAAATAGAATTGAAATCCTAAGGAAATGTTTGTAAATGAACCAAATTATTATCACTTAAAGTTGTACTTTCAACTGTCTCACCCGTGATTTACTTTTTCGTTATTCTTCATTGATAGCTTTGCAAAATTCACTTGAGAAAAATACTTACCACTTTAGTAAATTAAAGGAGTTTCTACAGAAGAGTTAAGTTCGAGAACTTACCTAAGCAGGAATAAAACCACGATTAATGATCTTTTGCTCTCAGTTTCTGACAGCAATTGTAGTTCCGCAGTGAACTCAAGAAATAAAACACGCGACTCGAGTTCTAAACAGAAAACACCTAAACAAACCCAGTACAAACCGTTTATCACAATACAACCGTATGACACTGAAAATTTGTTTCCAGATGTGCTTGGCTGACGATCTTTCCTATATGCCGCTGTATACAATCTTTTGCGCAACCGCAGGCACAACAGAGCTTGATAGAGTGGGCATATGACGTTCCAACAACACGACTGGTCGACAGTTTGAACCGAACTGAGCTGTTTTACGGCAATATCGCATATAATTCCGGAAACATCATATCAGGTGGCCTTTGCGAAGCCTGTTCCATCGCTTCAACCGGGTTATATGCAGTCACTAAACTACGCATAAAAATATCCTTCTAATTACATTGGAATGTTTTAATAAGTAATGAAGTTCATGTGTGTGCGTGTAAAGGAAATACACTTGATATATTAGCCTTTTCCAGCGTATCCTTCGACGTTTTATTACCGGTTTAGGATGAAATATTTTCCAGAAGTGATGCTATTCAGAACTGACAATGAAATAAGTTCATGTCAACTCATGCCAGTTTATTTTGGTCTACCACAATTCATGACCTTTATCACGTGAACTATTTTGGTTCACAATTAGCATTGCCAAATGTTTCCCTTGTTGATTTTTAGGAGGTTTGCTATATTGCAATGCTATTTCTTCCTCGCACGATAACGTTTCACCATAAGAGTGGATCATGGCTTGTTGACTTTCAGGAGCCAGTTTAGAATATTTATCTTTATGTGTGTTTCAGTGAAAGCAGTGAGGGATACAAGGTCAAAGCTTATGACTAAGAGGCGTCAAGAAACGAAAGCAACCGCTAACCAAACAAATATGTTACATAACGTAATCGACGCAAAAATAGGTATATTGTCAGTTATTTAAATTGATATCAGACCAACAATACCCGTGAACAATATAATTGCGTGGTTGTGGCCTACCACCTTTTGAAGAATCAACTGCTGTTACTGATTTAAACACTGTGTAATGCATGAGGTATTAAAATGACCACTCGTTTGTGTCAATGAAATCTAACAAAGCAGGCCTTCACGTAATCGTCGGGATAACACACCCGACAAATAAAATAAAACAAAATGACATTTTAAACATAGAATTCGCAATAAGATCGCAAAATTGGTCAGAAAACAGTAATTTTAATAAGGTCTCAGCTATTGCACACGTCTTAGACACGATTTAGACTCTCTCTAACTGTTAGCCAGCAAATTTAGTCTCACTTTACGTCTGTCTTTTGGATTGGCCATCTAGATTTTTATCCTTCACATCTAAGTTGGCTTTGTGTAATTACTGATGAAGGAGAGCAGTTAAAAGCCTGGAGACTACTGGGTTAGTACGCATCAAGCTACCATTAGCTTGTTGGTATTGTCTCAAAGTGCTGACAAATGTGCTGACGAAACACTACGTAACGTGACTGATATTTTGAGTTTGAATACAACAAAAATCACGAGATGAAATCCAACAGGTATCAAATCTATAATGTTACTCTTAAGTTCATTTTTTTTTAAACAAGCAATCCAAAGATCTAGGCTAGGGATGGCAATCATTGAAGACTTAAAATATTCGTTGAAACCAAATTTGTCCCCACAAATTTCCCACTATTAGAAATATGTGATTATGCGGTAGATTCTCTCAGACATCTCGTCTTGTTTTAAAGCCACACACTGCAGCTACGCTAAGCAACAACCAATCACAAAACAAACGCTAAACACTTCGAAGAATTCATTCGTTCGATAAAAATTGTTCTAGAAAAACCAAAACCAGCTCAAATTAAATACTAATAGTCTAAAATACAATTACCCGTCGAGCAATACATTTCGAATCTTCAAAATTACTACTTCTTGTAAAATTGCTTGACTAAATAAAACTAGTTTTTAACAATCTTGTGTATTCTGTACTATAAATAACGCTAACGTCGCATTAAATCAAACTAATGGCTCACAACTTAGAAATTACAATGCTAACTAAAATGGGAGTAAAAGCCAACCATTTTCATTACTTTTAAGTCCTCGAAACATGGTAACACACGTGACAGTTGGTACTGTCATGAACAACTTGCACGGTTGTAGTCAGAGAGAGATAAACGTTGTAGTGTGTACATTAGGAACTCGTACATAAAAAGTCATCATTTTCCTCTTTTTAACGGACTTTTAAGCCCTTTTTGTTTAGAAAAATCTCTCATCTCCCTCTTGTCATCAATATAATTATCATACGTATCATTTTCAGTATAAGTATAACATAGGAATTATTAAGTGGTGTTGTCAAATTAGTTTCCTTCGAACTTTTGCAGAAGGGGAAGTAAATATAGTACGAACACGAGGAATAGTCATGCAAAGAAACTCTCTTAGAGGATTTTGTGGCAACATAATAACATGCTATAACATAGTAACATGCTATAACATATTAACATGCTATAATATAGTAGCATTGATTACGGAATCAAGGAGTTAAACTCCTCCAGCCGCGAATTAAATTTTCTAAACTCCGTGTCTCCCCAGGCCTCCCACAGGACCAACTGATAGCGCTCCAAACCGCGTTCTGTAGTATTCACGCTACCTCTTGGAGTCTCCAGCCGACGCAAACAGACCACCTTGTCCATGCCACTGCTGACAATTTCATCCACTTGACCATTTTCGTAACCTAGAAGATTGTCACTCTCGAGTTGAGCGAACACAAGACCCAAAGGAACATCATCATTAAATGAGTTGACGTTCAGTGTTAGCACGTCACCAACTCCTCGTCCAATCCACAACGTGCCATTCACTAACGAAAGTGCTGTCACACGATTAATTGTGCCAGCAAGTATTCGTATCCTAGGTCTCGCTGCCCACGGTTTACTAAGTGGTGACTTGTTGCCTTCATCTTTCTCCTGTCGCCGTTGAGATTTTCTCCTGGTTGAACTCATAAGCGAGGGAGTTCGAGAAGGTGAATTGAAAGGCTGCCTTAACGACGTCATAGAAGCACATGGACGGGATATCGAGCTTTCAGAGCCTAAACTTTTTCGTGCACCTTCGATGAAAGCTTGACGAGTTTCTTCGCGGTCAACGAGCTCAAAATCTGCACCTTCCCTTTTGTCGACAGCTTCTCTGGTTACTGTTTCGGTCTCTTTTTCATCTTCAACATTGTTGTCTCCTGTCTGTCTCTGGGCTTCAATTGTAATTTCAGGAATAGTTTCAACTGATAATGTCATAGATAATGCATCACTTTTGCCATGATTGGAAGTAGCGTCGCATCTCGATTCTATGACTTCCTCGCCGGAGTTTCGAATATTATCGATTGTCGCTGTTTTTTCGATTAAAGTTGGAACATTTTCGGAAATTACTGAAACAGAATCTTCGTTTGTTTGAAAATCTTCGGTTTGAGCGTGAGACTCCTGCGGGGTACTGCTAGCCTGAGCAAGAACTGTGATACTTTTCGTTGTATCTGTGCTACAAAAAGAAGAAATTCCACCCTCATCGGAGACGGTTTCCGCTGGTAGGGACAGAGAACGGGAAAATGCCTGAACCTGTTTAGAATCCATATTTTTAGAATCCTCATGACGATCATTTTCTGTTGTATTTCGACCAAAGTCAGAACCAATTCGACGAGGAAGTGAATCCTCTTTACGCAAAGAGTTTGTTTCGTCGCCTTCTTCATTGATACTACGATCCATCGCCTCTTTAAACATCGATTCAGTGAAAGAGGGCTCGCACATATCAGGTGGGTCACTGACTGTTCTGTCACGACGGGAAGAGCGTTCATCATCACCTTTTCTTGAAGTGAAACGGCGGGACTCTACTATGTTTGTGTCTAAAACTTTTCCAACTGGACTGTTAACATCACAGTCAAAAATATTGGTCAGCTGACGACTGCTAACTTCCCATTGTAAAATTTTCGATGACCTCCTGTCCGCGCACCAAACACGTGTTCCGTCCGTTACCATGATCCGGACATGCGTCCTTTGCGTTTGGTACACCGCAATCTCGTCCAGAATGACCAAGGTGTTGGTATCCACTATCACAATCTTGTTGCCGCATCCAACCCACAGTTCTTTATTATTGAATACGAGAACCATACATTTGGTGGGCATACCAGACTGACCAAGGTTAACAACCTACAATAAGTGAACACAGCTATGTATCACTAAAGAGTAACCCACAACCTGTTAGTGCCACCAGAATGGTCTTCGGCTGAGAAGTAAATGAATTTTGACCAAGAATAATCCATTGTCGTTAGACGTGTACATGTTGTGAACTTATGTGTAATACCATGTTCGCAGTATAACGTGCAATCGTTAACAACAAACTGTTTCAATCTCTCATTTCTAATGTGACAAAGGGTAAAGTCTTTCTCCTTTAGTATTTCTCGCAACTGAAAAAAAAGACAACATACACAACAAACCTGAAAGTTAGACCACTTGTCACTTTCCTTTTTCAACCGTTCATCCTCGCCTTTCGTTTCTAGAGTGACATCAGCATGCGAAAATCTTCGTGCTAATCTAGTTTTAGGAGTGAACACTATCAGGGTACCATTGGCAAGGGAAGCAAATACACTTTTAACTCTTGTGCCACTCTATTAATGGAAAAAAGACAGAAACCTCAATTAAATGTGAAGTTCAAGATACTCTAATCTTGGAAGTTAAAAAACTAAATGGACGTGTTTGATCCAGGCCAAATTCCGTCCAAAGGTATTTTTTCCCATTCACCTTTGAAAGGTACTGGAATTGTTACATTTTAGCGAGGTTACTTCAGTTGCCTTTGTGTCCATTTCTCTATGTAGCTTCGAAGGGAACCATTTTAAACACCACTAGTGCATAATGAGGAAGCTCCCTTGGAAGAGAATTTAACGCTGGCTGCGACATACAAATGTACGAATACAAAACACAAAACCATGGCAACTATATCATAGTGACAATATTACACAAAAAACATTGTAGCTATACCTCAAGCTCTGCCTTTTCAGGAAGGTCCTCATCTGTAGGAAAATACTCCGTCAACAGCGCAAGAACTGGAGCCTTAGTGGTATACGACCACAGAATTGAGGGATTACGCCAGGACGTCCGTCCGAACACCTCTATAGTGCACCCCTACAAAAATGGTCCCTGTCAGATTTACACTCTTATAGACATTAAAAATAAACTAAAAGCAACACTAGAACAATTTTTTTTCTCTCAGTTTCGAAATTAATCATATCCACTCCTGAGTACTGCAAAGAAGAAGTTTTTTCTTTTCAGCTTGTTTGCGATTAATAACAAAATTTATTTACCTCCGTGCCAAGCCAAGTTCGATTTTCAACTCTCGTCATGCAAAGCACTCTATGTCCCTCACAGTTTTGTCCTTGTGTATGGAACACTCCTGTCTCACAGTTGATTATACTGTAGTACCGATCATTTCGTTCACGACTCCAAATCAGAATAAAGTTCGAAGCGATCTCAGTTGAAGAACCCTCCATAGCCTCAGGGACCTTGGGATTGCCTGCAAGAGTGCGCAGGTAACATAAGTTGACGAGTACATGAGCAAAGTCGACATCTTTTACGGATGGAAAAGACCCAAATGAACGAGAGAGATAATAAAGACACAAGCAACACGCGCACTTATACTAAATGATCCAATGGCGATAAGCCGTCGAGTCTTACCAGAAGCAACATTTGATAAGGCATAAATTGCTGTAACTTTCTCCAACAAGTTTTCATCAGTGGCTGGTAACAGTCGACACTGACATAAGAAAGCTGGATCTTCCATCTCTTTTAAAATTTCGCTTGCAGGAGGACGCTTCTCTGGCAACTGATGCCAGCATGATCTAAAGAATGCAAAGCAACATAAGTTATGATGCAAGTTACAAGGTAAAGTGGGAATGAGAATTACGTGTGAATGGGATTTAATTAAGCGTTGACCCACATGATCCAAACCCTCTATAATAATTTTACATGCATCACCACATTTAGAAAAAGTACTTAATATCTTCTTGCGGTGGGTAACTCATTCAGTTATAGTTTTTCCCGCCTTCCTTCTCCTGTGAGGTGGTTTCATTATCCCAAAGAAACCTTGCACTATCAATAAACTGAATTTCCGTGGACAATCTTACAAGGGTATTAAGTGTGTGAAGCAGAGGTATATCATTGACAAATTCTTACCTCATTAGCCGTTCTAATCTTGGTAATTGTGAATCTAATTCAAGCTGAGGTGAAGGCCGCACCCCTCGTCGAATCGCTTTCTTGATGTCCACGACATTGCGATAATCACTAAAAGGACGACATCCTGTCAGCAGCTCAAACAGAAAAATTGCAAAGGAGAAAATATCCACCTGGAACAAAAAAAGGAAACATAACTGATGCATTAAAGAAAGATGTTTTTTCGTCTTGTCACGAGCGTGGGACAAAGAAAAAATTCTGAGTCCTCATGAGGAATCGAAACCTCAGCCCTTCAGATTCCGCGCTCAGATGCTCGTAACTAATGCACTTTGACAATTTTACTTGTAGGTAGCACAATATCGCTTAACCTTTCTGCTTTTATCACTAAGTCTGTGATTTCATTACCTTTTCATCGTAACCGACTCCAGTGCGAATTTCCGGAGCCTGATATCCTGGAGTCCCTTCCTCTCCAGCAACTCCTTGAGGTGTGGCGAAACACGAGATTCCGTAGTCAGATAGTTTGACGTTCAATAAAGCGGACTCATCCATGGACCAAACTAAAACATTGTCGGCTTTCAGATCTCGATAGATAATGTTACAGTCGTGGAGATACCAAAGGGCACTGGCGACCTGAGGCGATAAAAAGAATTAAAAGCGTTGAAAGGAATTGCAAACATGCTGTCTTTTTCTTTTGAGCTTTGGTGCGAAAGCAAGAGCAAAAGCAAACAAGAGGCAACACACGGATGCCTGTTGAGGGGTTCTGACTTTCGTACTTGCTACAGGTCAACTCTTGTTTGTTTGTTTGTTGGCTGTCTGTTTGTTTTCCTGTCTAAGGAAGGAAGTAAGCGGTTTATGGTGGCAAACGGTTTCAAGTCACCGCATACGTAAGAAAACTTACGAGAAAGAAGCAATCACGTGTCAACATCGTCACAATCCTAAAGCTAAACCTTGGAGGTACCTTTAGACACCTTCTAGTTCCAAGGTAATCCTCTAAGGCGTCTGTTATTTCTCTACACGTGACAGATACCTGAAAAGCGATGTTATAGGATAATTCACGCCCAAGAATTGACTCCCTGCTCCTGGAAACTTGGCTGCCTTCGTTCTCTCGAGCTTCACGCTTTGATGAGAGCTCGTCAAGGACTGTAGCTAAACTACCAAAAGGGGCGAGCTCCAAAACAAAGCATAGTGGACGCAGAGAAACGGCAAGAAGTCTGACAACACATGGATGATTCAATCGGCAAAGGACTGCTACCTAAAAACACGATCACAAAGAAAATCCTTGCTACTCTAACAATTTCAAAATTATCAACTAAAGCAAATTAACAACCTAATTCATTACGAAAATAAGTAAAATTAACTGTTCGAAGAACATCTTAATACTCTTGAATCATTTGCTATCTGCCGCATATTTGGGGAATATGGCTGAACTTAGTTTCTTATGAATAATGCCCATCTCTGTCATTTATTCATTATTATTGGTTTTGTGGAGGGAGATTGAAGAAGGGCTGGAGGTTCTTACCGGGTGTGTTATAAAACTAAGAAACAATGGTGGTATGTGAGAGCAACAACTTCTCGAGCGTTTACTTGCAAATAAGCGACCCGTTAGTGATGTGTAGTCTGTAATGCAAATGAAAAGCTCTTGGGAGTGAAACGAGGGGACTAGGGTGGCGTAGGGCAGGGTAAAGAAAAATATGACACTGTTAGTTACTTTTATTACAAAAGATTAGAAACTGATATTATGTTGCTTTATTATTACCTCTTGACGTAAGTCCCAGAAAGCTTTGACAACCTTAGTCCTTTCCAGTTCCTCCTCCATGTCACGTTCAGTGTTGGCAGTGTACACATCAGATCTCCGGCCACTTGAGCCCTCACTCACATGGGACCTATAACAGGATCCACTTAAAGTCCTGGATCCAGGAGAGGGCCCAGTGTTTCCAAGTCCGCTGTCAAGGAGAGAGCTGCACATCGGGAAGAGTCAAAGAAACCATAAATGTCACGCAAGGGATTTACCACTTCTAATGAATAATATTTAGGATAATATGTATTCCAAACGTGTAATGATAAAGTGCCTGAGTCCTTAGTCACAGAAGCCCAAACCATGATGTCTGAACACCAGTTAGTTGTAAAATCCTTCGACACGCATCAAGCACATGAACATGATCGTTAACAACTCAACTTATAAGAAGAGCATAACAGAAAAGTTAAATTTGAATTTCTCAAACATTTACCCAGTTTGGCCTATAGAGTGGAATATTTTCACCGCCACAGTCTCGTTTCGATATGATCCACGATACACTTCACCAGAGCCACCACCGCCAATCTTATGTGATTCTCGCGGGTCGAACTTGAATTGAGTTTGATCCACAAGTAACTGCCGGGGTAGGTCTGCCATTAACAAGTCCGGGATAAGAAGCGATATGGACACCACTCTATCCGGATGGGAAGGACAGCTGATAGTTGAAAAACGCATCGCAGTTGCTGCGCATTCCGTCAGAGTGAAATTGTGCGGATGAAGAGTTTGCAACATAAGAAAATTAGAGGGAAGAGTGGATGGAAACTCCATAGAAACAGATCGTTTCATTGATTTGCGGTGAGTCATCCAGTTGATACAAAGCGGACACGGAATTAAACGACGGACCAATGGCAACCCATACATGTCAGTCTCGTCGAGACCTACAACCAATTATTTTAAAGGTGAGATATCGACTGTGGGTATTTAACAAAGGAGGCTCAACCAAATTAACTCTCAGAGCAAACCAGCCACAGCTACACTGATAACTAGGTGAAGTTATTTTTTCTCTAAACGAGCTGGGCTTACAATATTTTTCCGACTATTTCACGGGTTTCTTTTGTTTTCTTTTTAGAATTGCTTCTGTATCGATTCTCAAAAAATAACTTATTTTTCACAGGGATTGTGATTGCTAACCCTAAGCAAATAGCTTCAGTATTTTCATTTACCCGGATACCATTCCGAAATGAGAGCGTCAATCTGATCGACAATGAATCCAATAGCAGCAAAGTCTCGCTGTTCTGACCATACAGTGATAGCGACACCATTGATTTCTTGGAAGACGGCCTTTCCTTGATTTACAGGGATCTTGAAGAAGAAATACAGAGTCAAAAATAGTTAGTTTCAAAGGCAAACAAAAACATCATGTAACGTGAACTGACTTTTTTTAATAGCAATCAATGCAACACTTAAGGGTCACAGAAAAGAAGAGTCATGTAACACAAGGATCGTACGATACAAAAAGTCACGCACCAATTCTTGGTATGATTCCACCTTGAAGTAACCTCCCTCATACACGACACCAATCCCCTCCCGCCAGTAAACCAAAGAATAGCTTTCTTCCTTTATTTGCTCAATAGTCCGCCATCTTTGAATGGACACAATAAGCCTGGTAATGAGTCGGCTCCAGAACCCGCTCGGCGTGTAGGCCATCTGGTAATTCCTACACACTGTGTTGATGTTTGAATTGTCTAGTGAGCTGCTGCCACGACTACTGGAAAATCTGCCCTGTTGATCAGTAACATACAATAGTAAGTCAGAAATATTATAAGAGTGCATACTTTTACTCAAGTTCAAGTACTGTGAAGGTGAGGAACGTGAGTAATTTAGCCACACCTGTTCGTTTGACTTTTTTCTCTTGGCCATCAACTTCTGAAGCTTGTGAAGCTGCAGTCCTGGTTTCTCTTTTGGTAGCATTGAAGGAATTAAAAGCTGTTCCTCGTTTATAGAGAGAGCAATCTCGAAACGCTCCATTAGTTGCAGATACTGAAACAAGTAATTATTCAGTCAATAAATCCATCAGACGGCTGATCGGTCAGTGTTGTACAAAATATGACTTTAAGGCTCACCTGTAGTATAAAATTTTGGGGGAATTTGGGGTCTCTCAACACCAACTGCAAATCCTTCTTCTTCATGACACCGTTAACAATAAAAGGATTTCTCTCTCGGACGGTGACAAGAGTCGCAATAAGATCACAGACCCAAGCAGGGTCAATAAAGTAAAGATGATTGAGGCCCCGCAGCTGATCATTGTAGTGAAGTAACACACCATTCTCGTGTAAGAATCTGGTGGCTAAGAGAAGACGGAATACGCCCAGGAAAAATTAGTTTTTTTTAAATACCACAATACGTTCAGCTCACAAGTTACTGGTGGATAGGCATGTCGTTAACTGAATTTTGATATTGCATCTCTCGGACGTCTGTTTTTGTTTTTATATTATTATTATTATTATTATTATTATTATTATTATTATTATTGTTCGTTTGTTTCTCCGAAAACGCTAAGACGTGAACCACGTCAGAGAGATCTTAAGAAGTTCGCGAAAGGTTTCTTATCCTCATGACGGTAATTCTTACCCATTACCATAAACTGTAGCAAAAAAAAATGCAAAGTTAATCCGAAACGCGACAACGAACCCGAGGTCTGAACAAACAACAACAACAAAAAATCACCTTCATTCCCACATATCAGTGGTGAGATAACGCCAGTGACACTTGTAGTCGTGTTCGATGATGGAAGCTCACTTACCTAGTGTTAGCTCCTCAGTATCTAAGATGTCATTCTGTGGACTGCACTTGGCGAGTTGCAAGATTTCATCTTCCAAGAGTAAGGGTGGTTCGCCTGTGGTTCTCCGGCGCTCAGCCTCTTGTATAACAGCTTGTTGGAGGTCGATGTAACTTTGTGGTACCTGAAGAGAATTCAGAGAGAAGTAAGAAACAATTAAGTCATCAACCGATTAGCGGGGTGCGTTTTTCAAGCTGAACAAAGATGAAGGAGGCAAATGAAATAAAGGAAGAACAATGTTGACGTTCTGTCTATCTCATCATAAATCACGGCTGTTTCGAAAATCAAATAGGAAAGGAAAACAATAAAAACTAATAACCATTCGGCCAATGATGTTTTCTCCATGATCCTTGACTTTTAACGCCTTGCTGTAAATCAGTTCTTTCAACTCCGGAATGTTCTCGCCAGTCGTCGGCGACACAACAATATTGCCGACAATCTTCGGAAATCCTTGGTTGTCCAAATACTTCAGCGCGATGCTTTGCTTCAGTGCATCCACGCGGTGTTGTCGATTTTTCTTCGGAAGCAAGTCCAGATGTGTTCCGACAATCAAAACTTCGGAAGACGGTGCACGAGCCTGAAAGGAAACACAGGGGAAATTTTTCAGAACCCTAGTTATGTCATGACACCGGAGGTATACCATTTTGGACAATGTGGTTATCACTTTGTATAAGAAACACGTCGATCATAGGCGACCTTGGAGCAATTTTTAATTGAGAGGCGAACGTTATCCGGGATTGCGTGGGATTCGCTTCCCTTTGTTTTAAGAATGGCCTTAAAGATTCGTGATACTCTCTCAACCAATCACGTCCAAAACAAAAACCAATCGTTATACTTGGCCATGTCCACGCATCAGGCTGTATTTTTACTTGTCTTGTTTTTTTTAGTTCTCATTGGGGCCTTGTGACATTTACTTTGCACTGATTGATCATTGTGGTTACTTTGGTTGTATTACTGCCGCACCCAATCGTAAAGCTCTTCATGTAATTTATCCTGAACAGTGAATCTTTCTAATCCATGGGTGAAAATGAAGATTAACTAATGCTGCGTGCGTAGCTGACCTGACAAACATTCGAGTCAGGTTTGTTCCAGTAAAATGACTACAGCATTTAAATCACCACCTGTATGTTGAGAAGCCAACGTCTCAGACTCTCCACTCCTTCTTCTCCATGTGTCACGTTCCACACGGCCAGGTACAGAGTATTAGGCGACAAAAACATTTGATGAGCCGCGTAATAAACATTTTGCCCCGCAAGATCCCAAGTGCTGAACGTTATTAATGGTGCGTCACTCTGGTAAAGGAAAAAAGGTCAGAATCTAGAGTATTTCAGTTCAACTTAAGGTTCTAATATTCTAATGAAAATGTTTGATTCATTTATTAACCTGTGTTAAGAAGCGCTGTAATGAAAACCTTGAACTGGCCCCGATCTGAACCTGCCATTCGTCAATCACAATTCCCACAGTGGACAGGTTAGGTGGCAGTTTTTGACCTTTTAAAGCAGACAGCAAAGTTGTCTTCCCTCGACCCTTAAAAAGTAGATGTAATTGTAATCAATGGAGGTTGATTGTACGACTTTAATATTAAACCCAGAACCTAGGCCATAATAATTCGTAACTAAGAGGGAAAGTACTTCTTACCTGTAAACCTACCACCATCAGTTTCATGCGGTAATACGGTACAGACTTCCGAAGAGTTGCTCGTAAGTATGCCAGCGTGTCTTTTGGTCGGACACCAATCTCACCTGAAAAGAGCGGAGACAAACGGCATTTATGGATGAGCGCCCAGAGACATAAGACAGGAGAGAGGAAGAACGAGTAAAGAAAATTTAGCAATCGTAGAGTGACTTCGTCCTTTTCCCACCTCCTCTCTCTCGCGACGCAAATTTTCCGTCTTTAAATTGAAATTCATCATTAGAGGTCCAGGTCAACGCCAAGGTCACTTACCAGGTCTGACGTGTTTAGGAATGCCTGAAAGATTTAGTTTGTTCAATCGGAGCTGCCAGCAATCGCGTAAGTTGCCAAGTTCAGGAGGAAGTGTGCGCAGTTCAGGGTTACTGCATGAAAACAAAACAACAAAATAAATTACGTAAAAAAATAGCATTAACTTTGGAGAGAATGTGAGTGAAAGTTATCAATCATTCATTTCGAATTAGATTCCAGCTATCTTCTCATTACTGTAAACGAGGCTAAGGAAGGAGATACGTGCCAATAACTGGAGCCCTTAATTGCTCGCTTTCACCCAGCGGCAACTTGAATTAAACCTCAACTATAATCAACCCGTAATTACATTATAAAGGGTATTTAAGGGAAGAAGACAAGAAAGAGATGGGTGAGGGAGAGAATAAGATCGTAACTTAGTACTGCCCTGAAACATTACTATAATTCTTACTCGCTTAAGTCCAGTTCGATGAGGCTCATCAATCCGCAGATACTTAAGGGTAAGGACTGTAAGTTGTTGTCGTTTACAGAAAGTGTCTCTAGCGTGTGAGAAAATAGTGCTGTAGGAAATTCACAGTCAGTCTTTGTTTCTTGACCATCTTCTGAGCTGGAGGCTTTGAAAAATTGGAAACGCTTCAGTGTTGAAGAACCCATCTGTGACTCGACAAGTGGTTTGGCGGATAACTGTAGAGAGTAAAATCAAATTCATTCAATTAAGATCGATCACAGATCACAGTCAGCCAGGTAGAATAAGAGAAGCGCCTTCCTCCAGATGTTCGTCACTCAGAAAAGCAACAATAATTTTCACTTATTTTAGCCGTTTTACCTTGTTGAAGGAAAGGTTTAGCTTGTGCAAAGTGCTGCATGTCCAGAATTCTGGCTTTGGCAACATTCGAATGTTATTGTGACTCATATCTAGATCTTGAAGTCCTGACAACTGACACAAGTTCCAAGAAATGGATCCCAGATTATTGCTTGAAAGATAGAGACGCTTCAGAGAGGTGTCCCACACCATTTCCATGTTACAGGAAAAACTGGTTAACTTATTGTGCGAAAGGTCAAGGATTTCCTTTGAACCAAGAAGACAATAATCGTATTCAATGAGTTTACATATCAATTCTCAAACAGAAACTGTACATATCAATTCTAATAAACATATGAATACGCAGTGAAACGACAACAACATTCATCTTACCAAGGGGCATTTCCAAGCCATCGGAAAGTCTCGTAGATTATTGTGATCCAGATATAGTTTTGTGAGCCCGACAGCTCCCTGAATACCGTTAGGTAAACTTTTTAGTTGATTGAATGACAATGTTAGAACCTTCAGTGCAGTACAGCCCCATGTGTCGCTATCAGCTTCCTCGCCCTCTTCCAGCTCGCCAAATAAGGAAGAGATATTGTTCTGAGCGAGGTTTAGTTTCTTCATTGTGGGTAATTGAAACAAAGAGACAGGGGCGCATGTCAGCTGGTTATCAAAAGCTGATAGCTTTTGTATCCTGTTGGATAAAGTGAATGTTAAATTTGCATTCAATGAGGCATTTACACGTAAGAAGACATGCCATTGTGGCTAGATCAAATAAACCGGCTTCAGAAATGTGCCTCTTCGCACTAATTTATTTTGAGCTGACTCCGTGAGAAAACGTGATTTGTGAGACAGACTGGCTAATATATAAATTTGCTCGCAGGATGTTGGAGGATTTACGTTCTATATCTGTCATTATGAGTGAGGTTTTATTTTCGAAGATTAATTACGGTGAGAAACGGCGTGAGAAGTTGAACATTTTAATCACTAAGTATGTCCGAAGATGTACCTGGATTTTATAATATCTGATTAATACGGGTAAGTTACAAGGGTTCCTTACAACTAATAAGTTTGTTCATTCCGATCCCGTCGTTACAGTTTTTCAACGTCTCTTTTAAACGTCAGTTTCCTAATCTTAAAATGCAAGATCAAGTAGCGCAATTCATTTGCTTGCTCCTCAGAATCGAAGTAACTTTCCCTTCTTTATATCAGTCAATGATTTTCTTGTTGATGCTCAGTACGAGTCACGCAGAGGACGAATTAGATCTATATCGACTTGCAAAGGGTTCACAGAATCTCGATTCCACGAAAATAGAAATGTGATACTCAGGAACAATAACCAAACACCCTGTCGTTATTTTATAACAGCAAACTTAGAGACCGTCATTCCGAGAAAATTCCGTTGCTGGGAAAAAACCGTCATAATCAAGTTACTGTCTAACTCAAAGCCGGAAGCTTCGATTTTACCTATTCTCATAACATCAATGTAGACATGAAAATAAAGTCGGGAAGGTAAAATTAAGTTCTTAATAGGCTGGGGTCCTAGTTTTAACTCTCAAAGGGCACATGTAAATGAGATTATAAAACTTTCACCTTTTTGTGGACAAAGCGTTTTACAAATAACAAATACATTATTTCCATACAGTATGGCGTTATACCTTGTGTAGCTGCTGATAACTTCTGGTAAATATTTCAATTGATTTTTAGACACATCAAGCTCCTCAAGGGCTGGAAGAATATTAAACAGCTCTTCTGGAAGCTCCTTAATGCAGTTATCAGACAGGTCAATACTCACAAGTCTTGCTGACAAGTTAACAAACCAAGCTTTATGAATGGCGTACAAATTTTTTTTACTCCAAGCAGCAGAAAACATTGTCACACTTGGATCAACTTCAAAAGAAAGTGCTGTCTTGCGTTTGTTCCTAGTTTCTTTGGTGTATCTGCAGCCAAATTAAAAATACAAATAATGTCATGGCACATCAAGGTTGCCACATGATACCTTGGTTTATCAAATAAATTTTTCTCAGAAATTACATATAAATATTAAATTTCAAAATTTTATTTTCATTATCAAAGTGTGAGAGCCATGCCAACACATGCAAGCTTCCCATGTCCTCCTGTTATATGCAATATTATTGTCCATGTATGTATCTATTATCTCCTGTGTCTGTCTCCAAGTGCATGAGACAGACAGTGATCAAAGTTTGTTTGTGCTGCCAATCAAACCCAGCAAACTAAATACTCCAAAAGATTTTAGTATCCTACCTCATTAGAGCTTCTCCAATAAGTTCCCAATAATTCTCTACAAGATCACAGGTCACTTTGGCCCCATTTTCAATAAGGTAATTAACAACAGCAGTCTGATGACCTTCACATGCACCTTTGAGAGGACTGCCTGGTGATTCCCTTCCCTGGGAGTCTAACGATGTAGATGGTGGGTTCACATCAACACCTCTCCTGATCAACAGTCTTGCCAGCTGGACATGCCCAAGTCTGCATGCCTCATAGAGTAGCAATGGTCCATGGGATCCAAGGAGACTGGGCTGCTCAGATAATAAAAATTCCACCACATCATGTTTTCCAGATTTACAGGCAAGTAAAATTGGCGACAAATGACCAAATACAGGATTATGTACAAATGCACCTTCTTTTAACAAATATTTTGCAATGTCTGCATATCCTTTTATACATGCAACACATAAGGGAGTTCCAATTTCTTCAACAGCTTGATTGACATTAGCACCAAAGGCTACAAGTTGACGTACCACTTCCAAATGACCATTTTCACAGGCCACATGAAGAAAATTTCTGGGCAAAGTTGAGCTAGCTACATCTTCTCCACAAATTAGCTCCTTTACTACATCTTGATTGTGGTAAATGGCTTGTAGTAGTGTGTCAAGATCACCTGTTGTGCAGGCTTCAAACAACTGTTTCCTAACACCTGGAAACAGAAATGATAAATCTGAACTAAGATAACTCTTTTTTATGCATACAGTGTAGAAGCAGTCGTATGTCATGATAGATGTTACTTATCTCTGGATGTAACTAAAAGGGAGATGTCCTTAGCTGTTGGTTAGGGGTTGGGTTAGGGTTAGGAAGGGATGATCAGGAGACAAATCTAAAGTCAAAAACTCCTCCAATACTATACAATAGTTTACAGCTTTAACATGTTTTTACAAATAATTGCTTTTACAACACAAAGTGATCACCATTTCAGGTATGATACCAAAATTATTCCAAGTGCATGCTGTATTTGAAATATAAAAAAAATAGCTGAGTAAATATGCATTTTATTTTCATAGATGACATAAACGCGATCAACGAACTTCGGTCGTAACTGCAACGGAACGATTTCTCTTTAACACTTGGAAACCCCGTACAATTCAAAAACAAAGCGTAGTCGCCATTGTCTTCTATTAACCAAGAATTGTAGGTATTATTAGAGAAGAATGCCAGAAACGAACAACTAATTATTTCTTTAATTACAAGACAATCGAAATCTGGTGTACCGACACAAAGAAATGGGCGCCTCAAGGAACAAAATCACTGCGATATCGACACACTTACTGAGGCACAAATTACTTACTGTTACTTAAATGGCTCTCCATATTGCTTCGATCTGGATCGATCGTGAATCCCTCATATTTGTCATCAATTGCAATGGAGTGTCAGGAAACGCACACGATAACTAATTCTTACGTTCACGAAAGCAGACAAAGCGCTTCACTTCGAGATTAAAAGGTGGACGCAAAGGAGCATCAAAGATCAGGTCCTAACAAAATCATCAACACTCGAAGGAGAGCAAAAACAGCTGTTATTAAGACTTTCAGCATTATATTAGCATGTTTTGTCACGTTTCCGCATTTTCTGCGAAAACTATGTTTACCTTTGCTCATAGCGTATTAATCTATGCACATCTTCCAGGAATCCTTTTTCCCTCTCTGTCTGGGCACAGCTTTCGACTGAAAATGGAAGATCAGCATCATATCATCGGCTATATTATTATGGATTACCCAGAGACACCGTGAATGCTTCTTGTTTCCAAGAAAGATCTGCATATCTTTCCGCAACTTCGTACCTCTAGAGTACTCCAAATATGGAATATTTTTCTATATTTGGGAATACAAAATCCCGTATGCAAAAAACACATTTCGCGGGAAATTTCACTAAAATGGCGTCCAAACGGCCAAATTCCAGTCAAAGAGGTTACTTTGATTTGATCAAAAGAGGAAAATCTGCCGCTGCAGGCCAGTCTAATGAAGAAGATGAAAACGCCAGCTTTGTTGATGGTTCGATAGTGCGTGTGAAGATGCGAAATTTTGTGTAAGTATTCAATCTCAAGGAGCGCGTGACTATGTTTTTCAGGTCTGATTATCATGTGTATGTGTGAGTGATGCTTCTTTCGAAGATCATAATTACCTTTGATGTTCTTTAATTTCGTCTTGGATGTTTTAAACACATCCAAGATTTTTCTTAACTTTAAATTTTGTTTTAGGACGTATGCAGATTGTGAGTTTAAGCCGGGTCCACATTTAAATGTGCTTCTTGGACCAAATGGTATGTTCCAACATCCTGCTGTTTTATAAATGAACTATAGCGGGAACCATGGGGGAGGGGGTGGGGGGGGGGGGGGGCAGAAGGATTTAAAGAATAGTAGAGAAATGGAGTGAATAAGAGACAGTCAGGACAAATTTAAGATATGTTTGAAGCTAGGAACAAACAAAGAGGAAATGGAGAAAAGAAAAATGGAAGAGATAAGGATGATGAAATAATGTACTATTTCCCAGGACTGTTGCTTCATGAATGAATGTATACTTGAATACACTTAGACACAATGATAATGTTGTGAAATGAATGGAGGGCTTCTCTTGTCAACAGGGACTGGCAAATCATCTATAGTCTGTGCAATCTGCCTGGGGCTTGCTGGTTCTACCAAGCTGCTTGGCCGTGCAACAGAGGTAGGTGTGAACCACTAGAAATTTTACATATATATATATATATATCTGATGTACATTTAGTACTCTCTATTCCTGTATGTTTACTCAACAGGGTTGCACCACAATTTGGTTAAATGAATTTTAGAGTTTGTGGAGCTACATTTACATGTTGGTGAACCCTGTATCACTTGTATGATCTTCCATATAGTGTCTATTTGTTTGTGTGAAAATCTGGTATACACAGTATTTACTTTGTCTGGCACTATGTGCGATTAGGGGGTGAAAAATTTTTTAACGTCTAGAGTGCCTATGGCTGAAATTATTTTTTGAGACTTCTAGAGTACAATTGACAGTCTGTTATTAAGTCTTATTAACTTGCTGATAATAATATCTTCTTAGGTAAGAGACTTCATCAAACATGGAGCATCTCAAGCCATGATAGAGATTGAGCTGTAAGGAGCTTTATTTCCCTTATTAAAATGTGTATTTTTTTACAGGGTGAGGGACAAGAAACCCAGTTACATGATTTTTAACAGTAGTGGGAAATTGACTAATTTCAAGCAGACATCCTATCATTGTAATATATTTAGGTTTGAATTATTTTCTTTTTATTTGTTTATCCATGTATAATCACATCTTGTAGACACAATTCAAATGAAAGGAATCACATTATAACCAGAGAAATGTACAGAAATGAGAATAGATCCAACTGGAAAATTAATGGAAAGGGATCAACAATGAAAGAGGTATGCATACATGTTCAGTGTATTAGACTTGAAAGTAGTCATTGACTCTGTATAAACTGCTTCCTGCTTTGTGCAACTGCGTGTATTTTCTCTTCAAAAAAATTAAATCGGAACTGAAAGGCCTATCAAATGGTTTCCATTGTATCAAAGAAACTAAAAAGTATGCTGTTGCAATGTAAAGGTAAGTGTGTTTAGGTACTTCTTTTTTCTTTTTTCTTTTTTTTTCTTTTTTTCAGTGGAACATCTATTTCATGCAAAGCTTCAGCTGATTATCCTTGAAAGATAATGAAGTCTTTTGTTTTGCCTGTCCTTAGGTTCAAGAGCTGACCAAAAAGTTAAATGTGCAAGTTGGCAACCTTTGTCAGTTTCTTCCACAGGTACTGAAATGCACGACACACATGATAGTATCAAACACAATCCTCATTTAGTAATTGATTTAACTATCTTTCCTTTTATCTTCAAAATGCCTTCTCACAGGATAAAGTGCAAGAATTTGCAAAGATGTCTCAGCAGCAGCTTTTGGAAGCCACAGAGAAAGCAGTGAGTGTAACCAGTGTGGCATTTAAGCATTCAACAGAAGTACTTCTTCTTTAAAGATACATGCAATTTTTGGTAAACAATCATGTAGGAAAATGAGTGTTGCTTATAAGTTTCTTTATTCATAGGTTGGACCACCCAAAATGTTTGATAGCCATCAAAAGCTCATTGAACTCAGGAAACAAGAAAAAGAACTAGAGGTTATTTGAGCCTGGAGTGGTGGATGCAACATAACTGATGAATATAAATTTTTCATGAGTATTCTACACACTTGCTTTTAACCTATGGGTCTTTTGTCCTAAGTAAACAGCTAGTAAGAGTGCTTTTCAATTTTTCCACAATTCTGCTATTTTACCTCTTAAGTCCATGGACATGCACTTGTTGAAAATTGCATCATAATTCAAAATTCCATCATTCACCTTCCACATTCAGAATGGATTATGTTTTTTACTCAAAAAATATTTATTATGTTTGCCTTTATACATGTATGAATAGGTTTCCCTCAGAAACGATAAGGAACATCTGGAAAAATTAGAACAGCAAAATGAACGTCTGGAACATGAGGTTAAAAGGCATCAAGAGAGAGAGCGACATTTACAAAAAGTGCAAATATTGGAAAAGAAAAGACCTTGGGCTGTAAGTCAGAAATTTTATGTAGAGAATGACATTTTTATACAAACTTTTAAACTGTCATTCCTGTTCATAAGAGAGAGAGAGAAAGAGGTAGGGAGTCTTTCTTTCACTGTTTAATTTATGATTTACTAATCTATTTCAGGAATATGAGCATGCCCGAAAAAAGTTTGTAGAAATTAAAGGTGAAAAAGGGGGTGAAAAGGAGGCTTGATGAAGTCAGAAAACAAAATGAACCAATGCAGAAACGCCTTGATGAAATAACAAGAAAAGTGAGACACCTTGAAAACTCCACCAGAGAGTTAGTAAGTGAACATTTAAAATGTATAATTTTCACCTTCATTGTAAAGGGTTACTGTTAACTCACCATAATGTCCAGTTGTAAAAATGTATTTCTTAAGTGTTTGCCTGAGAAGGGAAGCATCTTGAAGACTTATCTGGAACAGCTGAACTGAGGACTGGGTGAGCTCCATTTTTATACGTGAATGGAATAGATTTTATAAATGGCATGCTTCCAGACCTTGATAGAAGCCTTCACCTGCCTTTCAGTGGCCTCAGCAGAAAATTGTTGTATAGTTTACCTGTGGGTAACACTCCTGAAACACTCAGCTTAGCTTTGACATCCAAGGCTCTGTCATAAACTGGATGTTTAGGTTAAATTAACAGATTACAAGATGTGCATTTGCATGTGCAGTGTATGCAATTCATAAATTATATCCTTCTGATGTGGACTTTTTGTCAACTTTACACAGATGGAGAAAGGCAGTGAAGTGTTGAAAAGAGCCAAGTCAAAGAGTGAGCAGATTGAAAAGAAAGGAGATAAGGTAACAGCTTCAACCTTATACCCGTCACAGTTTATGGACATGTTTCTATTTTACTTGAGTTAAATATCAAGATCTGTGAGGCTTCTCAACAAGGAATTTTGACAAACTCTTGGCCTTTAGTCAGTAAACATCATTGACAACACCATGGACAACAGTGTTCAAACATAAATGTCTGTTGCATTGTACACTGTAGATAGAAGAACTACGCACAGAATTAAAAGATCTGAAGGAAGAAGAGAAGAAGAGACAAAAACGGTAATAGCACTTCAGATATGTACTGTTTGTAATAATTATCATTTGTTGATTACTTGTGAGTGTTCAGTTATATGTAGGGTGCATGAAGACTGTGTGTATGCAAATCTAACTCAAACAGGAGATGAAAAACTCTACAGGTTTAGCAATTAAAGAAAATCTTTTAACAGTCATAACTTCATGTACCAAACTTTTGTATAGAATGAATGACTTGGAGAGGGTGATAGATGGACTGAGGAATGAACTAGACAACCTACCAGACCCATATCATTTGCAGGTACCCCCTCCTGGAAAATTTCAATGTTTGTTGGTTTTTTTAATTTAACTTTAATTTAAATTTAACTTTATTTTGTCTCCGCCTGGCCTCTCCTACTTTATATGAGGAGTAGCTTACATCCAAATTGTTGTTTAGTCACATGCAGAAATATTACATTATATTTTGGTACACCAAATTCCTCTGACTCCTGAGATAACTATCTAGTTACAGCAAAATAAGTGAAATACATTTTTACAAGTACATTTTTACAAGTAAGGTGGCGTAATGGGACAGAAAGGATCTCGTGATCAGGTGATCTTTTCACAAACCTAATCTATGCTAGAAAGGGACAAATGAAAGAGAACAAAACAAGGCTGGCAAACTAATCATGTGCTAACAAGCTCTAGACAAATTTATTTTGACTCTACAGCATTGCAGACACATTGTCTATGTCTAAAAGATTGAGAAGCATCTGATATTTACAATATTTCAGACTCAGTATTTTAAACTTTTTACATGATTTTCCTGTCCATGCAAGCCTCGTATCGATGAAATCAATGTTGAAGCTCGACAAAAGAACCGTGAAGTGATGACCATGCAAGGGCAAGCTCGTAGCATCAGAGATGAGGCAGATAGCTTGAAGGCTCAGGTTCAAGGTGATTTTACAACAGAAGCTTTTACTATTATGCATACCTTGTACTTTCTATGCAGGATAATGATGCGCCTATGCAAGTTATCTTGTAACAATTATGCAGATTTCATTTTCTGATTGCCGGTAAAGTTTATTGAATGTGTTTCAATCTTACACTGTTTTTTCAACACAGACATAAGGAGCAGAATTTCTGAACTT